ATATAATTATTTTTTTCTTTTTATTTATTTATTTTGTTCTTTGTTTTGTTTATTTTTGGTTTTTTTCTCTTTTATTATTATTTAATATATTAATTTTACGTGAAGAATAAAATGGAGCGAGAAAATAATAAAATTGGAGAAAAGAGAAGAATAATAATAAATGAAGATTGAGGAAAAAATAATAAAAAATAAGAGAAAACAAATTATAAAAAAATTAATTTTCTTTATTAAATTTTGGATATAAATAATATATTAGAATAATCGAGTAAATAAATTTGGATAAATTATTAATGGAATTGGTTATAGGGTTTATTTGGCAAATAAATATTTGTGAAATTGGGAAGAAGTAAACTTGAAGAGTGCATTAGAATTAATAATTGCATGTTAGCACAAATCAATCTTGAAAATGAAGTATTAAATTGTAAGTTTTCTGTTATTCAAGTTAAGATGATCCAGTTATTTTAAAAATATAATAAAAAATTGACTTGATTCATTTAAGCGTTGCATGGTAGAGTTTAAAAAAAAATTATTTAGTAAATTTTAAAAACATTATACATTTAGATAAATTGTGTTGCGAAACACAATTTCGTAATAAAAAATCGTACTTTATAGTATGATTTTTCTTTTAATATATTTTTGAATTTAAAAAAGAAATCGTATTACAACTACTTCAACGTTTATATTTTAATAATAATTATTATATTAAAAAAATATTTTTTAATATTACAAATTTAATATTAATTATTGTTATTTTTATTAAAAATATTTTTATTATAGTTAATAATAAAATAAATGAATATAAATTTTGTTTATATTATTAATTTAAATAATAAATATTATTCTACTAGTTTTATTAATATTATTGTAAAATTATTTTGTAATTATTAATACTAAAATAATAATAATATTAATACGAATATCACTAAAATAAGATTCAGAATGATAATATTAGTATTAATAATAATAACATTAATAATAAAATAATATTCATACTAAAATAATATCAATACTAATAATACGAAAATAATATCAATACTAATAATAATAATAAGATAATATTAATATTAATAATAGGAGAATTATAATAATAATAATATTATTATTTAATATTAATAAAAATAAAATAACTAACAATTATATTAACAATATATTACCAATAATAAATATTACTAAAAATAATATTAACAAAAAGATAATATTAATAATTATATTATTAACAAAAGAATAATATTAATAATTTTGATATAAAAAATAATAATATTATTTTAGTATTGATAATAATAAAATATCTTTTATAATAATATTATTATTGAAATTAATATAATAATATTTATTATTTAAATTAATAAAATAAACATAATTATTATTATTTATTTTATTATTACGTATACTAAAAATATTTTTAATAAAAAATAATAATTAAATATATTAAATTATAAATTTATTATTAATATAATTTAATAATATAAAGCTATTATTAATATAATATAAAAATATAATAATAATAATAATAATAATTAAAATATAAAACGTTGAAGTGAGAATTCGACTTCAGTAGAAAATGAAATTTCTTCATTGCTACGACTTATTTAAATTTATAATTTTTTTTAAAATTGACTAAATTTAAGAAAGAAATTCTTCTATTGTAATTGGGTTGTTACGACTACTGTTGAATGTTTAATTGCCTATTTAAGTTATAAGTGATTTTTTAATCTCGAAATTATATTTGAACGATTTTAAAATAGATATATTCTTTCTTTTAATTTTTTGTGCAATTTTAGTTTTTTTTTTACTATTTTAATTTATAAGTTTTAAAAAGTATATAATTTGTTTTTTAAAGTTATATTCTTTAATTTTGTCTCTGTTTATTTTTTAAATTTTTAATTAATTGAAGTACTTCTTTATGTTATTTAAAATGTATAAATTAAAGGTATAAATCTACTATCACTTAAAACTTAAGTCTCTATCGTATTTGTCTAGTGATTAGGTTCACTTTCGAGTCCTATAAATCTAAACTCATGATTAAATTTGTTCATGTAGATATTAAATGTTTCACATGAATAAGATTGATAGAAGAGAAATCAGAAGGAGAAATCAAAATAACAATAGAGAAATTAATTAAAATCAATAGTCATTAATCTTTCAAAGTATAATAAAACTATGAAATATGTTTTTCTCCCATTTTATTTATAGTCCCTACAAAAATTTGTATAGATTTAGTCTTTAAAAAACTAAAATGTTTTAAATTTATTCTATTAAGCAATTCTATGTCACAATTTACATACAAGACTTACTCTTTATAAAAAAATAATTGTGAAGTATAATTTAAAAAAAGAAAATATTTTATTTTTATTTTTAGGTTACTCTGATAAATTAATTATAGAGTGAAAATTTTGAAAATGAAAGAATAAGTAGAAATAGGTTGAGAAAAATCTTAATGTGTTGTTTTGAGTGAATGTTTAGATCATTTTTGGTGGAAGTTCCTTCATAAGATCCTTAATTAAAACATTGATTGCCTTAAGTAATTTTTTTATGGTAGAAATCCTAAGTGGTAAAATGATTTAGGGTTATATCATTTTAAAGCAACTTATTATTGATTTTAATCCATTAAAAGTTTTTTTAATAAATTTTAAAAAAATAGTTATTTTTTCTTATTTATTTTGATTTGTTTATTTATTAATTTAGAAATAAAAATAAATATTTTATTATATATTTCACGTCTAAATTATTTAAAATTAAAAAAATATTATTTATACAAATAACTTTAATTAAATCTTAAACAACTCATCTTTAGAACGAAAAATCTTGAGTAATTATATAGTAAGGACCTATTAAATGTGTTTTTGTAGAATAATAATTTAGAAAAAGTAAATGAGAAAAAAAGAAAAAAAGATGCGTCGTAGATAATAAGAGAAAAAAATATATTAGATAATATAATTTTTGAGTAAATAAATTATTAAGACGATCTTTATTTTATTTTTCTTTTAAAATATATATTTTATGTATAAAATTCGGTGTTTCACTTGTTACAAAATCATTAATTTTTTTTGGGTGCTGATATTTTGACAACCGTAGCAAGAAACAACTCAAAAAATAACTCATTTTATTAATATAATAATCATGAAAGAGATTTAATAAAAATAAAAATAAGTTAAAATTATTATTATAATATTAAAAGTGGGTTATTTGGTAGAGTTGTATAAGATTGGGTTGTCAAAGTATCATTTCTCTTTTTTTTTTTTCACCAAATGCGATAGAATTTCACCATGTCTAAGAAAAATTTACGTACTTGATACTTTCTAAACACACGGAAACTTATTGGCATTTACATGGTTAAGTTGGGAAACTTCTTGCTATTTATCATAAAAATCAATGACAGCGAAGTGGTGGACATTTAAGGTCTTCTCATCAAAATGAGGTTCGAATTTCAAAAGTTGTCTTTTGTTGATTTTATGTTTTTATTGACTTTTGATCATCCATTCCTAATAGTAGGGCTGTCAAATTGATTCAACATTACTCATACGGGTTGGTTTACCACGGATTGAGTTGAAAATAGGTAAGCTCAACCTGACTTTTTTTTTTTTTTTGCCAGAAATTTTATAACCCGACTCAACTCACCACCACGGGTTGGTGGGTTAGGTCGATTTACTCACTAACCCATATTTTTTTAATTATATAAAAACTTCGGATGTAGAAACTTATATTTTTTTTTTTCTCAACATCAGTATCTTCGTTATTAACTGAAATTGATTCATTGAGTTTTTCATTAATAATAAAATCATCACCAGTACAATTTACATTGACGCTTTAATGTATTGTGGCAGATTCAATAATGTAAATTAATTTAAAAGAAAGAAGTCAAAAATTCATATATTAAAGAGATATACGCATAAATCAATAACAAACAACAAATAATGTATATATACTACAATTTTCAAATAAAGATTCATCAATCCAATAGTTTAGGTTATGAAACAAATTTTTACCTTTGAAAGCAATACAGTGGTTTAGGTTATGAAACAAATTCTTACCTTTGAAAACAATACAATGGACATGGTGTAGTGGTGTGGTGGACAGATAATAAGACAAGTGACCAAAGTGCAACGACAAACGTAATGGTGCAACGAACAACTGATAACAAGTTTAAGTGAGGGTTTGGCTTGTGGTGACGACCAACAATATAGGGTAGAGGTAAGACATGATAACATCAATTATGATTATTAAAGTATTATAATTATTTTAAAAATTTAAAATAAATGATTAATTAAGGTTAGTATGTTATTATAATTATTTTTAAAATTTAAAATTAATGGTGGGTTGCGGCTAACCCACCATAATCTGACTCGAACCCATTTAACCCGTGGGTTAAGTGAGCCGGCTTCATTTTTAGCCCATAATCAATAGAAATAAAAAAAATCAAACTCAACCCAGTTCGAACCCGTGGTAAAATGGGTTGGCTCATGAGTTAGAACCCATATTGACACCCGTACCCACTTTCCATATTCTAGCTGTATTAGGAGCATGCTATTTAACATATTTTAACTGTATTTCTGAAATAATAACTAAAACTCACTTTTTCCAAAGGAAGAAAGATATAAATGATTTATCTTGACCAACTTAGTTCTTTGTATACAAAAAGTAGGGAATAAGAAGATATTTTCATAAGACACAAATCAATAATATAACATCATTTTCAACTCAAAATGTTTAGAAACTAAGTTATGTTTATAACCTAGTCTATTTCTAGATAATTAGTTGATAAACCAAATGAAATAAAGATTAGTTGATTCCACACAAGCAACTTTCTTTGTTTTACTTTTCTCGCCGTGTCCAAAGGATTAAAGATTTTCAATGATGCAGTAATTCTAAACTAAATACAATAACTGATATGCATAGTGATCACTTCACTTGGCATAAAAGTCAGAAAGAAGCATACATTACTTCCTTACTGCTTTTAGTGTTAGCTTATTCTGCATTATCATATTGAATCCAAATAACTTATGGCTGCGGCTTTTGTGGGAGAAGCTTTCCTCTCAGCTGCTGTGGAGGTGCTGTTGAACAGGATAATTTCCCGTGAGTTCCAAGACTTCTTTCATTGCAAGAAGCTTGATATTTTGCCCCTTAAAAAGCTTAGAATAACACTGTTGAGTCTTCAAGCTGTACTAAATGATGCTGAAGAGAAACAGATCACCAACCCTGCAGTCAAGGAATGGCTGGATGAGCTCACACAAACTGTCTTTGATGCCGAAGATTTGTTGGATGAAATCAACACTGAGGCTTTGCGATGCAAATTGGAAGCCAAGTCTCTGAGTCGATCTACTAGAGATCAGGTGATGAACTTATTTTCTTCTCCTCTCAACCAGTTTCAAAAAGTTGTCAATTCGAAAATACAAGCTTTGTTTCAAAGACTAGAACAATTTGCCCTGCAAAAAGACATCCTTCAACTAAAAGAAGGTGTTTCCAGCAGTGTCTGGCATGGAACTCCCACAAGTTCTGTGGTAGATGAATCCACTATCTATGGCAGAGATGATGACAGAAACAAACTTAAAAGTTATTTGATGTCAGAAGATGCTAGTGGCTGTAAAATAGGAGTGATTTCCATTGTGGGCATGGGAGGGCTTGGGAAAACAACACTTGCTAAACTCCTTTACAATGATCCAGATGTACAAGAAAAATTTGATTTAAAAGCATGGGCCTATATTTCAAATGGTTTTGATGTTTGCAAGGTTACTAAAACCATTCTTGAATCTGTCACCTTCAAATCAAACGATACAAATAACTTGAATATTCTACAAGTAGAATTGCAACAAAGCTTAAGCCACAAAAGATTTTTTCTTGTATTGGATGACATATGGGATGGAAGCTCTGTTGATTGGAACAATCTAATGGACATTTTTAGTGCTGGGAAAATGGGGAGTAAAATTATCATCACAACTAGAGATGAGAGTGTCGCAAGAGCCATGCAAACTTTTTTACCTATCCACCATTTGACATCTCTATCTAGTGAAGATTGCTGGTCTTTACTTGCTAAACATGCATTTGGAGCAAATAATTGCAGCAAACAATTAAACCTAGAAGTAATTGGTAAAGAAATAGCAAAAAAATGTGACGGCTTACCATTAGCTGCAGTAACACTTGGGGGTCTTCTTCGTACCCAATTATCAGAAAATTATTGGACCAAGGTATTAAAAAGTAACATTTGGGATTTGCCAAATGTTAAGGTTCTACCAGCTCTACTATTGAGCTATCATTACCTCCCTGCTCCTTTGAAACGATGCTTCGCTTACTTATCGATATTTCCAAAGAACTCCAAGATAGAAAAAGAGATGGTGGTGCGGTTATGGATTGCAGAAGGCTTAGTATGTCAATCCAAAAGTGACAAAACTATGGAAGAAGTAGGTGATGAATACTTCGATGAACTAGTATCAAGGTCACTGATACATAGAAGAGGGTCACTAAGTGGGCAAGCAGACTTTAAAATGCATGACCTGATCAATGGTTTAGCCACTATGATTTCATCTACATATTGTGTCAAGTGTGAGGATCCAATGTCACGTGCAAGTGTTGAAAGAATTCGTCATTTGTCATACAACAGAGGGATGTATGACTCTTTCAATAAATTTGATTGCCTTTATGGATCAAAAGGTCTGCGTTCCTTCATTGTCTTACCATTTAGAATGCGGTGGTTACGAATTGGTTGTTTTCTCTGTTGTTACTTGTCAAACAAGGTAGTACATGACTTGTTACCAAGAATGACAAAGCTGAGGGTGTTATCCTTGTCACACTATGTGAATATCACTGAGTTGCCTGATTCTCTTGGAAATTTAGTTTTTCTGCGATACTTGGATCTTTCTAACACTAGCATTCAGAGATTGCCAGATGTAATTTGCAAGCTCTATAATATGCAGACTTTGTTGTTGTCCAATTGTTGGTTACTCACTGAATTGCCCGAGGACATTGGAAATTTGGTAAATCTACGGCACCTAGACAACAGTGGGACTGTTTTGAAGAAGATGCCTAAACAAATAGCCTCACTACAAAATCTTCAAACCTTGTCCACCTTTGTCATCAGCAAACTGCAAGATGGATTGAAGGTTGGAGAGCTGAAAAACTTTCCCCTTCTACAAGGAAAACTTTCCATTTTGAAGCTACAAAATGTAGTTGACCCCGATGAAGCTCTCCAAGCCAATTTGAAGAAGAAAGCACAAATAAATGAGTTAGCACTAGAATGGGATTGTGGTACCACTGAAGATACGCAAATTGAAAGGCTTGTACTCGAGCAGCTGCAACCTCCAATAAACTTGAAGAAACTGACCATCAGGTCCTATGGTGGAACCAGCTTTCCAAATTGGTTAGGTGATGCTGCCTTTGGTAACATGGTGTACTTACGCATTAGTGGCTGTGATCATTGTTGGTCGCTACCTCCCCTTGGGCAGTTAGTTAGTCTTCAAGAACTCTACATTTCTGATATGAAATCAGTGAAGACTGTTGGTACTGAATTCTATGGAAGTTCTTCACCTTCATTTCAGCCATTTCCCTCCTTGGAGATTTTGAGTTTTGAGGGGATGCTAGAGTGGGAGGAATGGAACTGGATCGAAGGTACAATTATAGAGTTTCCTAGCCTGTCATATCTCTCTCTCAAAAATTGTCCCAAACTCAAAGGAACCTTACCCACCAATCATCTTCATTCAATTGATTTCGAGCTATCGGGTTGTCTATCATTGTTTCCAATGGTATGTCCTGAACTCAGAGAAAACTCATCAACCAATCTTCCTCCCTTAATTGAGCTTAAGTCCACCAATTACATCCTCGACTTGACTATCTCAGGCATTACATCCCTAGCATCCTTTACAAATGGCCTGCCCACAGCATAGAGATCTCTCACTTTACGTAATTGTGAGAAGCTAGAATTCCTGCCTCATGAATCCTTGAACAATTACACATCCCTTAAGGAATTAACAATATTTAATAGCTGTGGTTCATTGACTTCCTTTACCTTGGGCTGTCTCCCAGTGCTAAAAAGGCTTAGCATTTCTTCTTGTAAGAATTTGAAATCTATTTCTAGTGCAGAAAATTCATCCCAGAGTCTCTCACTTCTTGAACATTTGAGCATATGTAAATGTCCTGAACTTGAATCATTTCCAGCGGGTGGATTGCTCATTCCTAACCTCATTCAACTCGAGGTATTGAGCTGTGACAAGCTCAATTCACTCCCTGTACCAATTAACACTCTTGCTTCCCTCCAATCATTGAACATTAATCATCTTCCCAATCTTGAGTCTTTTGCACAAGGGGGTTTGCCTATCAGGCTACGTGAGTTTTATGTCTCTAGTCTAGGGAGTTTCTTGACAACAACTATCAGTGACTGGGGTTTGCAAAGGCTCACTTGTCTTTCAACATTGACTATTGGAAGTGATGAAATTTTGAATGCATTTACGAAGATGAAAACGTCATTGCTGCCAACTTCTCTGGTGTCCTTATGCATATGTAATCTTACGGGTATAAAATGCTTGGATGGGAAGTGGCTTCAGCATCTAACCTCTCTTGAAAAGCTTGAGATTTTATGTTCTCGCCAACTTGAATCCTTACCTGAAGAGGGATTGCCTCCCACTCTTTCCGTGTTGACCATCGAGATGTGTCCATCATTAGAAGCAAGTTGTAGCCACGGAGGGAAAGATTGGTCTAAGATTTCTCACATTCCGTGCATAATTATCAACGGGCAAGTGATCATATAAATGTTCAGGTGAGTAAATATATAGCTTCCCACCTGCTATTCCAGAGATGTCGAAGCCACTTCTCCTTCAAACACGACAACAACTGCTTCTCCGTCGAAGCTTTCGTCAACGCATTCACAAGCCCATCCCCGCGAACACTTGAGACTGTCCAAAACCACACGTGGATATCTCCAGTATCCGCAAATGGCCCGGCAGGCTGCATTCCACAAAAGCCTGCAACTTGCTACTGATCCAGAACAAATCTTTTAACGTGCGAGTTTTCAGAGAGACCATAGTTCCATTTTAATTCCAAATCCACAACTTGGTCTTTCTATTTCACTTTCGCTTGACAGGCCTCAGATGGGTCAGTGAATTTTGTAGATTCGAGACTGAGAGTTTCCCTTGTAGATTGGGGAATTTTCTGAGCTCTGATAGGTTTAGCCGGTCTTGGTTTTTGCTAACAATGAAGTTTGACAGTGTTTGGAGATTCTCCAGTTCCGCTATCTGCACTGGCCTCGCTTTCAATTTGGTGCATGTGATGTCAATGTGGCGTAGATTAACCAAATTCCCAAATTTCTCTGGCAAGTCAGCCGGTATCCGGCATTTGGAGAGCCACAACCACAAGGTTTGTAGATTGTAGAGCTTGCATATTGAATCTGGCAATCTTTCACTTTTAGTATTGGAGAGATCCAAATATCTTAGGCGTGTTTAGTTTCCAAGAGAATCTGGCACCACGGTGATGTTGTGGTAGTGTGACAAAGATAAGGCCCTTAATACTGTCATTGCTGGGAACAATTCAAATAGTAGCTTGTTGGATAGGTAATGGCTTCTTAGGTTGGGATATTTTGATGACCACCAATGATTCAAAGGTAGGGCTAGGAAGGTGTGAAGAGATTTTGCTGCATCCAGTGTGTCGAATCTGTTTGAGTAGTCGTACCTCCCTCTGTTGTATGACAATTGACGAGCACTTTCAAGGTGCCTTATGCTTTGGATTTGGACCCTCTTGCCTGGTGCAGAAGGAGGATGAAACCATTATGGCTAGTTCGTTGGTGATGCATCATGAAGCTTTTTTCTTGTTGACTGTGTGCTGGCGAACAGCGACCATGACACGAGTTCATGGAAATACTCCTAGCCTGTTTCCTCCAGACATTTGTTGCTGCTCTTGGACTGGTGCACTAGCCCTTCTGCCATCCACAGCTGAACCAAACTATTATTGTCTATGATGATGTTTTGGAGAAAAATTGACCAATAAGCAAAGCGTTGTTTCAGAGAGCCAGGAAGATAGTGGTATCTCAATAGAAAATGTGGTAGCACCTTCATATTTGGCAAATCCCAGATGTTGATTTTGAGGACTCAATTCCATTCCTTTTCCATTAGTTTGGTCCTACCAATAGCTTCTGCTGCTAAAGGTAAGCCACCACACCTTTTAGCTATTTCTCTGCCAATTGCTTGAAATTTGGATTGTTGCCTGCTGTTGGTTGCTCTAAATGCATGATGAGAAAGTAATGCCCAGCAATCTTCAGTGTGAAGAGATTTTAGGTAGTGGACAGGAAGAGAGGTTTGCATTGCTAGTGCTACACTTTCGTAGCGTGTTGTGATGATGATTTTGCTTCCCCCACATTTGAAGATGGCTCTCAGCTTGTTCCAGTCATCGTAGCTTCCATCTCATATGTCATCCAACACTAGCAAAAAATCTTTTGTGCACACTGATTCAAGAAGGCTTTTTTGTCACCTTACAAACATCAAAATCCTTCGAAATGTATGCCAATGCTTTGAGATCAAATTTCCCATTCACCGCATGGTCATTGTAAAGGAGTTTAACAAGGGTTGTTTTACCAAGACCACCATGCCCACAATGGTAATAACCCCTATTTTACTCCCACTACCATTATCTTCTTCTGACAGCAAATAATTATTGAGTATCTTCCTGTCATCATCTCTGCCATAAATAGCAGATTCATCTGCCACAGAGCTTGTGGCTAAACCCTGCTTGAAACACCTTCTCTCAACCCCAGGATGTCTTTTTGCAATCAAAATTGCTCCAATCTTTGAAACACAGCTTGTAGTTCAAAATTGATGACCCCATAAATCCTTTTTGAAAATTGAGAAAGGAAGTTCCGCATCTGATCACTGATGGGTTGAATTTGACACTCTGCAGCTTCCTCTTTGGATCGCAAAGCCTCAGTGTTGGTGTGATCTAACAAATCATCAGCATCATATGTAGCATGTGTGAGCTCCTCTAGCCATTCTTTGACAGCAGGTTTTTGATTTGTTTCTCCTCAGCATCATTAAGAACAGCTTGAAGACTCAACAGTGTTATCTTCAGCTTCTTGAGGAATGAAACATCAAGCTCCTTGCTCCTGAAGAAGTGTATGAACTCATTGGAAACGATCCTCTCTATCAACACTTCCAAAGAAACTTAGAGGAAAGCTCTCCCACAAATGCCACAGCCATATCTTCACTTCTTCCTTGCAATAGCCATAGGCAACAAACAACAGTTTAATAAAACAGTACCCAGGTCAATGAATGATGTGTCATGAAACATGTCCTTGACAAATGCCACTTTCCACATAGAAGGTACCACAATATAATGGTTGGGTAAATATTAAAGAATTATTATTTTATAGATTGGATCTGCAACCAGATGAATTAAATAAATGGGATCAAAATAATCTCATTCAATTTAAGTCATGTTTTTTCTCTATCTAATTTATCATATTTTTAAACTTTTCCAGTGTTTAAACATTCCTAATCATTTATAGTTCACGAATTAGATTTTGATTATATATATATATATATATATATATATATATATATATATTAATAATTAGAGATTTATTTTTATTTTAAGTATTGTTTTATATATTATTAAATTAAAAATAATGATAAATGTAAAATTTATCTTGTAAATCTTACTCTTATAACTAGTAGAATGCGTTTAAGTGCGCGTTTACAAATTTTTTATAATTATTTTTTTTACTTTATTTAAATTTTATTTTATTTTATTTTCACGTATTCTTATTATTTTTTAAATATATAAATTGTAATAATTATTTTTTTCTTCAAATGATATTTTTTTTTGCTAAAAAGAAACAATTATAAAAGAAATTCCGAGATAAATAATTTTTATATACATAATTTTATATTGATTATTTAATAGCATTTTTTAATTTTTTTTCTAATACCTGAGACCTTGTAAACAGATGATATGATTTTTTAAAGTAATTATTATATAAATGTACAACTATGAATATTTGTATTTAAATGATTGTTAATGTATAATTTTTCTTTATTGCAAAAATCAAAATTTTCAGTTCTTATTTTTTTCCTTCAAAAGTTATTTTTTTTTCTAAAATTACGAAATAAAGAGTAGATTTTTATTTTTTTTTATTTCTTATTTTGCATCATCTAATTTGATTGAATTTTTAAAATAAAATTAATTAGTTTTTGTTTGATTTGATATTTGATATTTGATTTAATGTTTTATGGTTTATATTTACCTTATTCATTACAATGTGGAACATGTTTTTTCACTAACGTGTTTGATTTTGACTAGTCCACGTGTGAGAGGAAGAATCAGCAACAGTATAGCAGCTTTTTTCTGCTTCTTATTAAAGGTGGACTTTTTACATCGCAATACTCAACGTTCAACAAAAACGGCTCAAGTTTCTTCACTTCTTAGATTCATCAAGTTCTATGCCTCAATCAATGAGATAAAAAATTTACTTTCAAATGTTTAAATGCAAGTTACTTTGATGTATATCTGTGAATGTAAAAATTGCTTTGTAAAATAAGTGCATTAATTTTCTTTTATCTAAGTAAAAAAGAGAAATATGAGTTCCAATCAATATTTTTATTATATGCAATTAAATTATCAATTAATGATAAATTAATTGCTTTAAGTACATTATTTTCTAATGTTAATGGTTACAGTAAGTCTTAGCATTGAATGGTCTAGTATGTCTTTCCTAATACTTCTCATTTAATTATGTGTGGTTAAGTACATTTAAATAACTAATTAAACTTCGCCTATGTATGATTAGTTGAAGAAAACGTAAAAAATAATAATAAATGTCATATTGTAAACTGTTGACTTATTTAATGAATTTCTTCCTAACATTAATTACATCTTAATATTTCATTTATTTTTTCAATGAATATTATAAATAATATATTTAAAAGATATATTTAAATAGAATCTTTTTAAGTTTATTTATCCAATTTATTTATAATTCATATACAAATTTTAATAAAAAAAATAAATTCATTTCATATAATATAGTTATTTCCTCTCTTTTTATTATTATTATTATTTATTTTTCTTTATTTACTTCTTATTTTTTTTCTTTTGTTCTTCTCTCATTTTATAGTATATTGAAATTTGATAATGTGGGTCTTTTATTATATTGAAAAATAAAAATATTTAAATGATCCAGAAATATTATAATTTAATATATTATATAAGGAAAAAGTATTATATAATAAATTTGAGATATTACAAATATTATTATTATATTATAATTATTAACAGAAGAAATTAAATATTTATTTTAACATATTTTTATTAAATTTTAATATAGTAGTTTAATTAGGAAAATAAATAAGAGAAAAAAAGGTAAGAGAAATAAAAAAAAGAGAAATATGAGAACGGAAAAAAGAAAAAGGAAATTTACGAAGAAAGAGAAGAAAAATTATATATAAATAATAAATTGGTCTATTTAAGTAAATAAATTTGTATATATTTTATTTGAATATTTTAAAAAAATATTATTTTAGGATAAAAATTGTTTTAAAATATATTATATTTTAAATTTTAAGATTGTATTAATTATTTTTTAATAATCATATTATTTTTTTAATTATATATATTGTAAAGAAAAAAATAATAAATTATTAAAAATAATTACATATGAAAAGAATATTAATATAATAGGGATATTAATAAAAATATTAAAATGTATTAAAAATAATAAGAATTAATATTTTTGTTGATTTATCTACCCTAATTTTATACAACACATATTTAGGAAGATTACAAGACAATTAAGACACCTAAATTAATCAAATATTAATTTTCATGATTTATAATAATTTTTTAATTTATTTTCAATAGTATCTTATCAACATTTTCTATTCACCTAAAATAATTCAAAATAATTTATTCTTTCTCAAACAAAGTGTCATTTTTTTATCTCTACCAAAAATAAGCTTTCTTTGTATTCAAAGTTCAAAAGTGTAGGTTTTATTTTTTGTTTAATTTTTATATTTTATCTATTTTGCAAAAATACTATGCATATATCTTTATGATGATGAAACTAACCACATGCAAACCAAACATGTGCACCTATTTTATATTCAATATTATAGACCTTATGAAAATTGAATCAAATTCTTAGGGATTTTCACTTCAACTCAAATTCAATAACATTTTCTTTTATATATATATGGAACAAGTTTACCTAAAGCATCATATTCTTGTTAATAAACAAATGTCATCAAATGAGTGGTGTTTTCAAATTTACATACTATATATTGCAACTATAAAATTTAATAAGGTTATAGATGAAAATTTGAAAAAAAAATCTTAAAAACCATCCACAAAAAATAAGAAAAATCAATTGTTTATATGTGGATGACAACATTAAAAAATATAATATAAATTATGACATAACTTTAAAGACATGACACAAGTCTTCTCAATCTTAAATCCTAATTTACCTTTTTTTTTGGTGTGTTATGAAATAAGAAACTTTTAAAATGCAAGAAACCTAACATTATTCTTTATCCTCTAATTATGTTTCTTTTGTTCGATCGTAAAAATCTCAAATCATTTCATTAATAATAAAAGAACAACACTCAAAGGTGCTCCATTGAAAATTTGGGGAAAAAATATAAAAGATGGAGGCCATTTTCAAAACATGATCCACCATGCTAGCTTCTCAACTCACAAACTTATCAATAAAAAAATTGGATAAGTGAACAAATTTGTTCTCCATTATATTAAGATTAGACTAATTTTAAAAATAATTACACCATACAAGATTTGTAATCCATTCTAAATCTTATTTGTATCCAAAGATTCTATAACTTTTTCCATATATATATTTTTTTACTTTACTAGAGGTTCCATAATAACTACCAACAACTTTTCTATATGAAAATGAATATAGCAATAATTATATACACAAATAAATAATAAGATAATTTACTAACTTATTATTCATTCTCCCATCAATTCATATATATATGTTGACATATGGAAGAAAATGTATATTTGTGAATATTTTTTTCTTAATCATTAATACTAAATATTTTCTATTAACATCTTGGTTAAATGAGATGAAGTAAGTTAAGTTAAGATTTTTTATGGTGAAGTAAGTTAAGATTTTTTATAATAAAAGATTGAAATATAGGAGTAAATATGTAATGAAAGTCACAGCCATTGGTGCAATGACTCGATTTGTTCATGGAAAAAGGAGCATTATTTTTCGAAAAGGAGTTGGTTTTAGGAACAACTTTCACACCTTGCAAAAGCATAGAAAATAAAAGTGGCCAATGCATCCGTATAGGTATTGGAGCAGCCCCAAATTTGGCAAGCACACAACTCCAAGAACCTCTCACCCCTCCCTCTTTATCTTGCCAATCACAACCCAAACAAAACTTAGTTTAAAAGAAAAAAAAAAAGAATCTACAAATAAAAGGCACCCACGACAACACAACACACATAATCATGGAATATAAAACCAAAAATAGGCCCAAAAAGAATTGAAAATTATGCCACTTATGTGAAACAAAGTGTTTTAAGGCCAAAGTCACATACATCATCTTAATCTCTCTCTCTCCCTCCTTGTTTCCTTCCTACCCACCTAGACCAAACCCATTTCTCACAAATGGAAAAACCTTAAAAAAAAAAAGAAAAGAAAGAAAAGATGTAAATACCAAAATCCTCTTATTTCAATATTTCTTTCCCTTTTGTTGAGCAACCAGTGTCCTCATTCTCTCTCTAAAACCCTTTCTCTCTAGATTTCCTTCATGATTAGATTAATTGATCAAGCTTAAGTGCTTGGCCACACTCCACCCCGTGGATCTACCATTCACACCCCTCGCCACCTTTAATTCCGCGTAAAGGAGATCCTCGCGGTTCAAAGTTCGGATCAAAGCGGTGCCGTTGCGTCAGTGGCGCGTGCGTATAAATAAGATAGAGAAAGATAGAGATAGAGAGAGAGAAATGAAAATCCCGTGTTGTTCGGTTTGCCAAACGCGGTACAACGAGGAGGAGAGAGTTCCGCTTCTGCTCCAATGCGGGCACGGCTTCTGCAGAGAGTGTCTCTCTATAATGTTCGCGGAGTCTTCGGATGCCACGCTGGCGTGTCCGAGGTGCCGACACGTGTCCACCGTGGGGAACTCGGTGCAGGCGCTGCGGAAGAACTACGCGGTCCTCGCGCTGCTCAACTCCACGACCGCAGCTGCGAACGGCGGAGGGGGAGCAGGAGGAGGGGCGAATTTTGACTGCGACTGCACAGACGACGAGGAGGACGAGGACGGCCGCGGGGAGGTGGACGAGGAGGACGAGAAGCGGCGGCGGAACAGCCGCGAGTCGCAGGCGTCGAGCTCCGGTGAGTGCGAGCCGGTGATCGAGGTCGGCGGCGCGCACCAGGACTTGAAGTTGGTGCGGCGGATTGGGGAGGGGAGGAGGGCGGGTGTGGAGATGTGGATGGCGGTGATCGGCGGTGGCAGTGGAGGGGAAGGAGGACGTCGGTGCCGGCACAGCGTGGCGGTGAAGAAGGTGTCGGTGGTGGAGGGGATGGATTTGGATTGGGTTCAGGGAAAGTTGGAGGATTTGCGTAGGGCTTCGATGTGGTGTAGGAATGTGTGCACTTTCCATGGGACAATGAGGCTGGAGGACAGTTTGTGCCTGGTGATGGATAAGTGCTATGGATCGGTTCAGTCCGAGATGCAGCGCAATGAGGGGAGGCTCACTTTGGAACAAGTCCTAAGGTTTTGGATTTTATTTTCTTTTTGGTTGCTTCTTCTGGTTAATCTTGTTGTCAGAAGTTTGACTACTTTAGTTTCTCTTGTTTCGTTTGATGAGTAACTGTGGTCTTAAATTCCGGTTGTGTGATTATTGTGTTGATGACTAATTGTGGTTTAAGTCGTAGTTGGGTTGATTTGTTCAATTTGTGGATTTTGCTGCTTCAAGTGCTGTTGTCTGCATTTTGAAACACAAACAGTATTATCACAGTTTCAATGACAACATTGATAAGTGAGAGGACATAATTTTGGTTAAAATTTGGAGAAAATGCGATGTTATTATTTCACTGCTAGTCTTTGACTGATCAGTGTTTGGAGGGAGACGCTATCTATGTGTTTTTCTTGGCTGCCTGTTTACTTTTCTGTTGGTTAGTCAGCCAGAGAAATGGTTGAATAATATGTTTATGAAATTGTTTCAGAAAGATTTGGTCAGGATGATTTAGACCTTTGATTTTATTGCTTACTATGGACTGGGTAGTGTTAAAATCATTTTAGTGGGATGAATAATACCATATTGCATTTCAATTTCCCTTGGCACTGTGGATAATGACATTAAAATTTTCCAAATGTAGATATGGGGCTGATATTGCACGTGGAGTTGTTGAGCTTCATGCTGCAGGCGTTGTTTGCATGAATTTAAAACCGTCCAATCTTCTTCTTGATGCTAATGGTCACGCTGTGGTTTCTGATTATGGACTTGCTACAATTCTGAAGAAGCCTTCCTGTTGGAAGGCACGACCAGAGTGCGACTCTTTGAAGATCCACTCCTGTATGGAATGTATAATGCTCAGCCCACATTATACAGCACCGGAGGCTTGGGAACCTGTGAAGAAGTTAAATCTGTTTTGGGATGATGGAATAGGTATATCTTCCGAATCAGATGCCTGGAGTTTTGGTTGTACATTGGTGGAGATGTGCACGGGTTCCATTCCGTAAGTGGAGCAACTCATTCTTTACTCAACTTTTCTTTCTTAGGTTCTCCCTCTTTCTCCAAATTTCTTAATTTAATGCAAAATCTATGTGCAGTTGGGCAGGTTTAAGTGCAGAGGAAATCTATAGAGCTGCTGTTAAAGCTAAGAAACTGCCTCCACAGTATGCTAGCGTGGTTGGAGGTGGAATTCCGAGGGAATTGTGGAAGATGATCGGAGAGTGCTTGCAATTCAAGCCATCTAAAAGGCCCACTTTTAGCGCAATGCTGGCAATATTTCTCCGTCATTTGCAGGAAATACCCCGCAGCCCTCCTGCAAGCCCTGATAAGTAAGTCTGTTAAGCTATTATAACCATGATTGCATCTTTTGTGTTTGTTTTGACAGATTGGGAAGTCAAGGGTACTTATGATTTTTAGTATGGAAATGTGAGCTTGAATGGGAATGAGCCAAATGCACAGTTGTCATTGATGTTCAACTAGTAGCATTGTCTTATACAATGTTTATACATTTGTGTGATGAATACAGTGGCTTAGATAGTAAGGGTTCTGTATCAACTGTGATGGAGCCTTCACCAGTACCTGAATTGGAAGTTCCTCAGGAAAATCCTAACCATCTTCATAGACTTGTGTCTGAAGGAGATACTACAGGTGTTAGGTTAGTTGGTGTCACAGCACTTCTTGTCTGAGCTAATTTTTCCTTAAACTTTTATCATTTCACTCATTTGTAATGCATTTCTTGGACAGAGATCTTCTTGCAAAGGCTGCATTAGAAAATGGCAGCAACTACCTATCTTCATTATTGGAAGCTCAAAATGCAGATGGGCAAACAGCTCTCCACTTAGCTTGTAGACGTGGTAGTGCAGAACTTGTCGAGACAATTTTGGAGTATAGAGAAGCAGATGTTGATGTATTAGACAAAGATGGAGATCCTCCTCTTGTTTTTGCATTAGCAGCTGGGTCCCCAGAATGTGTTCGGAGCCTTATCAAGAGAAATGCCAATGTGAAGTCAAGGTTGAGAGATGGTTTTGGTCCTTCTGTAGCTCACGTTTGTGCCTATCATGGCCAGCCAGATTGTATGCGAGTATGTTTACTTAAATTATGCTTAGATGTTTCTTCTTCTTCATTAGAACTATATTCATCTAGAATTTATGTGGAGCAATAACAGGAATTACTATTAGCTGGAGCTGATCCTAATGCAGTGGATGATGAAGGTGAGTCTGTTTTGCATAGAGCAATTGCCAAGAAGTACACAGACTGTGCTCTTGTGATATTGGAGAATGGAGGCTGTAGATCAATGGCCATCGTGAATTCAAAGAATCTGACGTGAGTATTGACTTAGATTCAATTTTCTTTCTAACATAGAATTTGTTTGCCAAGTCTGTCAAGCTTAATTATTGGATAATGCAGCCACAGCTTATTTATTGTTATTTATTATTACACATAGGAAAGAGACAATTTTGCTCAAGTCATTTTGTCATCAATATTAATTTCATATTTATTGTTCTGTTCTGTTTGTCTTCATTACCTTTTCACACCTTTGCTTGGGGTAGCACTTTCATGTTGAAAGATGCAGTTCAGCCTGTTGAGTTGATATGAAGTAACTGATTGTTATTTTTTCTTATTCTAACACACTTTTATAGTTGTTAACATTTAAGGATGGGAATAGGATAATGGCATTTTTTTATGTCTATTCTCTGTAATCTACATCTTTAGTTCAATTAATGATTTGTAGCTGACTGAGTGAAGCTTGATACATAACATACTGTTGGATTTCATGTTGCATCTTTAGGTGATAGCTTTTGTTCTTTTGCTTTACAATAGAATATTTCTAAGCTATCATAAATTGTTGTTAAACCTGATAGTACAAATAGAGCTTGTATAAGTTCATCATGAAATAATGCTTTTGTACACTAGGGAACTTGCCAGCTCGGTATAGTTATTTAGTGCCAGGTGCTGTTTCTGTTAAAAACTAACATCTGATTGTCCTATAAATCCTATCCCTTAGTTTAGAGATTCAGAAATTTGATAACAACTTTTCAGTTTTCTCCCATTCTCCAGAACCAATTCTTGGTCCTGATTTGAGTTGTAAAGGAAGGTCATGAAAAATTTTCATTTTTTAGCGGGAGTTTCCATTCCTTAATCTTTACAACGGTTACTAGGAAATTCATTGCAAATTCTGTTGAAAAATAATTATATTTAATAGAGTAAAATACCACTGAATTCAGTACTGTTGTTCTTACAAAGTATCGATTTAACTTGACCTGATGATGATAAATATACTCAGAATCTGAGAATCTCATTGCTTCATTTTTATCATATTTCTTGGAATTTCAGATTTTAAAGTTTAGGATGTTTATATTCTACAGTTAAAATAGTATAAAGGAAAATTCTTTTATTGTGTCATTTCTATATAATTGAACCCCTCATATTGTTAACTGTATCATTTATGTTAAATTGATATTTTGACTCGTGCATATATGATAATCAATTAATCATACATTTCTACTCTGGTGTTGCAGACCACTGCACTTGTGTGTGGCAACATGGAATTTTGCTGTTGTGAAGAGATGGGCCGAAGTTGCAACTTCTGACGAGATTGCTGAAGCAATTGACATACCAAGCCCCATTGGTACTGCCTTGTGCATGGCAGCTGCTTCTAAGAAAGACCATGAAAAGGGTATCAAAAACTTCATTGTTTGATAATTATTTGAAAATTTGGTTATCTTTTGAACTTGTTTTTATTTATTTAGTGCATCTAAAAATGCTTCAATATTGAATTTTATCAATTTCAAATGGTTTAGATAGAAAGGAAGGAGTTTTGAAATTATGGGTTTAAGGTACATAGGAAGAACCAGAAAAAAAGAATGAATCACTGAATTGATATTAAAACCTAGAGCACTAACCCTTATTTTCACTAATTATGATCCTAACTAATTAGGGAAACAAATCATGATTGTAATTTAAAATATGATAAATTACTTTCATATATTCTAACAAAGAATTACAACTGTAGGGAGATAAGGCCTAACAGATCTGCGAAATCTTAAATTAGATATTGGTGAGTTTTGCGTTGGCTGCAGAAGATCTAACAGATCTGAGATAACTTGGAAATAAATTAAAGAAAGTTTGTAAGAAAAATTAGTAAACCTGCCCCATCTGTAGTGGCAACCTTAAAATATCCACTGGCTAGGCCTCAAAGGGACACCATGAAGATATTCTATCCCACAAGATGTCGAGAAGGCTTGAGACTGATGCATGCTTTCTACTCCAATGATGAATACACCAAAGAACTTCAAAAACTGCTAATGCCGTAAAATTTATACTTATTATTGACAAAGCCTTGATCAGCAGATATTATTTGAGAGTAAAGGTCAGGACCAAATGCTCTCCAATAAACCCTAGTATATTATTCCATGAAATGTTGTTAAATAACCATTATAGTTCTGCCATAATGCTATAATGTGGTGTCCGTTGTCCCCTTTACCATTGACAATTTGTGAAATGAGGCCTGCTATGGTAACTTCTTAGGTTACAATGGTGTGTTTATTGTGGAATTTTGGCCTTCTATTATCCTCCATATGCTATTTATCACCTCCAGATGGTGTGTTTATATTGTTCAGCCCAAGTAGTTCAAAAAGCCATCTCTATTCCATTGTCCAATAAAAAATGAAGCTTATTTGACCAATACTTGCTACCCTATTTTTTAGAACTAGCCTAAACTTTTCTGCCAAATTTCTTGATTTTCCCAAGATTGGATAGTTTTCAAGAGCCACATGGATCGGATGTTGAAGTCATTCTTTAACTAGCTATCTTAAGTATATCCAAATCTGACCTTCCCCCGCACTCATTTTCATTGAAGTGTAATTAATATTCTTAATGACATAAAGTTTTTATTTAGAATATTATTATAACATATTGTGAAATCAATAAATCTGCTTATCAATGATCACCCTTGGGTTTATTTCCTCATTTTAGTTGGTATCGATATATAAGCAGGGATACGATAGTAGTCTTATTGTATTTGCGAGTTTTGGTTTATAGTTGTAGTAACACTGATGTGCTTGCTCTAACTCTGCATAAATCAAAGTTGATTCTTTGTATGAATCTTTGTCATTTTATATAAAACATAAAGCTAAACTTTAAAAGTTCAAATTCTTTCTAATTTAGAAGCTGTAGTAGCCATGGCAGTAACGAAGAAGACAATGATGAAAAGAGTGATGAGAAGCAGAAATCTGATTAGTAAATAAAAAGATGGATGGGTTTTGGCCTGTATGACTGTTCCAACCCACTCTTAAGAAAAATATCTAAAGACTGACCTGACCCATACCCAGACCCAAATTTAGAATACCCAAGAATTCAACTCATGCCCCAAACATTAAAATATGATACTCCACCCTAAATATCCAAAATTGTCATCTTTCTCAAACAATGAACCAAAAACAGCTAGCAGCGACCTGCCATTTATTCTCTTTACTGACACAATTGAATCGTCTGATCTTGTTTGTTCTTGCCAAATTTAGAGGGCAGAGAACTGGTGCGGATACTGCTTGCAGCAGGAGCGAATCCATCTGCTCAAGATTCACAAAATGGGAGGACAGCTTTGCATACTGCTGCAATGACTAATGATGTGAACTTGGTTCAGGTATGTGAATGAGGTTCTTGATGAAAATGTTTGAGCTTCTTGTTTAAAGTACTTAAAGTTAAATAAAAGAGAAAATTTATATTTTGGAGGGCTTAATCACTCTTTTGAGATCTCTTATTTATAATGATAGAATATTGATACAATGAGTACAAGAAAGATCAATAGGTTTAAAGCCTGAATTAGAAACCTAGGTACAGTGATAGGTACAACATGAAAACAACTTTATGAAGCAGCCTTTTAATAACCATACTCACACTCAACCTGTATTTAATATTTATTCTATCACTCCCCCTCAAACTGGAGCATACAGATTGTATGTACCAAGCTTGGAACAAATAAATTTAATCAGAGGTCCCCTTAAGGACTTTGTTAACACATCTACAAGTTGATCATTAAATTCAACAAATTTAGTACAAATTTCCTTTGACAATAACTTTTCTCGAATAAAATGAAGTCGATCTCAATGTGTTTAATTCTCTCATAAAATGTTGGATTTGAAGCAATGTGAAGAGTAACTTGGTTATCACAATACATCTTCGTTGTTTAGATCTCATAGAAGTTTAGCTCTTGGAGAAATTGTTTCACCCATACAAGTTCACAAGTAAGAGACGTCATTGCCTTATATGTAGCTTCAACAAATGATTGGACCACTACATTTTGTTTCTTACTTTTCTAAGAAGTAATATTTCCTCCAAGAAAAACACCAAATCCTGTAGTGGAGCACCTGTCAGTAGGGGATCCTACCCAATCAACATCACAATACCCAATGATTTGGGTGTTGCCTTTCTCTTCATATAGTAGACCTTGCCCAGGAGCCTTTTTGAGGTATCTTAAAACACAAATGATAGCATGCCAAGGGTCAATACACGGAGTGTGCATGAATTGAGTGATCAGGTCTAGTATAGTAAGATAAATAAGATTTCCAATTAGTCTTTTGTATTTTTCTAGGTCAGAAAAGGCTCCCAAGATCCTTGGTTTGAAAATGTTTTTATAATTGTTCCTTAAGTTTAGATTTTCTAGTAACATCATTCCCAATGATAACTATATCATCAGGATATACAATTAAGTAAATACATTTACTAGCAAAGGTATGACAGTGAGAGACTAAATGATATGCTTCACTATGCTTCATACCCAAAGGTTTGAACAATGCAACTAAATTTTTCAACCAAGCACGTGGTGATTGTTTGAGACCATAGAAAGAGCGATGTAATTTACAAACCAGACTAGACTCCTCTTGAGCAACACATCTAGGAGGGTGCTCTATAAAGATTTCCTCTTCAAGATCTCATAAACAAAGATATTCTTAATATCCAACTGATGAAGTGGCCAGCGAAAAAAAGACGAACAATAATCATTTTGGCCACAATAGAGAAAGTGTCATTATCATTGAAGTCATAAATGTGAGTGTATTCTTTGACAACTAATCATGGTTTGAGACAATAAACTTTACCATTTAATGGCATAAATCCATCGACAACCCATGATCTTCTTTGCAGGTGGAAGGGGCACTAACTCCCATTTGTGATTTTGGTCAAGAGCTTGCATTTTTACAATCATGCATTGTCACCATCAAGGATAACTAAGTGCTTCATTCACATTTTTGAGAATAGAATAGAAGAAACTAATGATGGAAAAGAGCAATAGGATGGAGACAACCTGTGATAGCCGAGAAAATTATAAATAAGATATAGATTTTGGGTAGAGCGAGTATCTTTTCGGAGGGCAATGAGCCAGTCTGAATCATTCCAAGTAGGAGTTGTGATATTGAGTGATGATGAAGAGGAAGTTGAAGAAGAGGTTTCACTTTGGAGCATTGGACTAGACATCCAAGCCCGACATTGGTAGGTAAGAACAGGTGGTGGTGATGGTTCCGAACGAGTTGAAACAGGATTGGAATCGTCACAAGTATTAGCGACAATGGTCTCAACCAATGGAATAGGAAGTACCTAATGGATGGAATGAACATCTTGAACAGACGAAGAGAAGTATGGTGTCTATTCAAAGAATGTGACATGAGCAGACATGTAGTACTTCATTGTATTAAGAAGACATATTTGACAACACGTGCAGAAAGTTTGTCTAAACCATGAACGAAGCAAACACATCTAAACACACAAGGGGAAATATGAAACAAAGGATCACTTGGAAAAAAAAATGAAATAAGAAGCTATATTGTTGAGAGGTGAAAATGACATTCTATTGATAAGAAAACAAACAGTTGAACAACATTATCCAATGATGGGTTGGAATATTGGCACCAAGCAAAAGGGTACGAGCAGTCTTGACCAAGTGTCTTTTTCCTTTTTGTAATACCATTTTTTTTGAGGAGTGTAAAGACAAGTAGACTAATGTAAAATGTTAAGTGATCCGGTGGTTACTAGAGAAAACTGAAAGTTGGCAGCAGCGATGATGGTGGGCCAGAGATGACTATAGACTAGCAGAGCGGGGTTAACTTGCTTTAATACCAACTTAAAGTTAATTAAAAGAGAAAAATCTTATTTTGGAGGGCTTACTCACTCCCCTTTGAGATCTCTTATTTTAATGGTAGAATATTGATAAAATAGTATAGGGAAGATCAAATGTCTAAAGCTTGAACTAGAAACCTAGGTACAGTGATAGAGTACAGCATGAAAACAGCTTTATGAAGCAGCCTGTTAATAACCATACTCATGCTCAACGTGTATTAATATTTATTCTAACAAAAGTGATTAAGTGTCCATTAATATGTTTTTTGGTGCTAAAATATGTGCATTTTGTACTTCATGTAAACATGTTTTGGGTGTTTTTAATAGGTTATTCTGGCTGCTGGAGTTGATGTGAACATTCGCAATGTGCATAACAGTATACCTCTTCACTTGGCCTTAGCTAGGGGTGCAAAGGCATGTGTTGGACTGCTTCTAGCTGCTGGAGCAGATTATAATTTGCAGGTTTTCATTCAAGTTCTCATTTTCCCGTTTGATCACTTATAATGTTATATTTTAACTGGCAACAAGATAGCTGTTGTTATACTTATCTGTTAGCATATTTTTGTAAGATGAGGAGAATGAAAGCACATAATTTTAACATAGCACAAGTCCAAAAAGAAAACTTTAAATGTGGTGTGTGTGCAATTACAGTAACAAATTCATTTATAGCAATTTTAGGGTAAAATTACTCAAGAAAAATTTGTGTTAAATGTTGGTATCACCTTTAAATATTGTTATAGATGATGTAGAAATTTCAATATCTGACAGCACATCCAATTTTGCTTTGTGATTTCTTCTTTCAGCCTGATTTCTCATATGGTTTGTAAAACTTTGTATTTTCTATATCAAATCTTTATCACATGATATATAAATTGCTGAGTTCAGTATCTGATGTAGCCATTCTTTATTAGAGTAAGACAAGCTTAAAAATAGTTGATACCAGTAGAGATAGTTGGGGGTCTAACAAATCTAAGGAACGTGATTCCTATTAAAATTCAATAAATTAAGTAACCTGGAGAAGACATAGAATATATTTGACTTCTATTCTTGGGCATGTACTTGTTTCTATTACATTGAAACAGTCTTGGTAAATCTTTTTGATTTGTTGTGCCCTGTATATTTTTATATATATTGGAACCATCTGGACTGGATTTATGTATGAACCATATTAAGTGTGTTGCAACTTATGTTTAGCTATAAAGATAAACACTTATTTTTAGCTTGAATTTTGTTTACTTAGTCGAAATAATTTGAAGTTGACATGTTCCCTGTATTTTGGAAGGAAGCTTTGCCATTATATCCTTGTCATTTAATGTTCTAACTTAACTTCATGTCAGGATGACGATGGTGACAATGCTTTCCATATAGCAGCAGAGACAGCAAAAATGATTCGTGAAAATATGAACTGGCTTATTACTATGCTAAGGAACCCTGATGCTGACATTGAAGTCAGAAACCACAGGTAAAGGCACTTCATTGAGTTGTAATTTTTATTTTTTTAACATCATAAACTTATCTATAATATTACTGTCATAACTTTGAAACTGCATCTTACTGTTTCATGTTAATCCTGTATAACCAATTTAATCGCATTGAATTGCAATGTCCGGGGTTGTGTTTTTATGACAGTGGGAAGACAGTACGTGACATTTTAGAGGCTCTCCCCCGAGAATGGTTATCTGAAGATCTGATGGTAGCACTTATGAATAGGGGAGTTCATTTGTCTCCGACAACGTGAGTGGAATACATTATTTTATACTAGTTTTTAGTTTATGATATTTATTGTCTACCCAGATGTGACTAGCATGTTTAAAAATTTGTTTATTGATGACTATATAGATTTGAAGTGGGAGACTGGGTGAAGTTTAAAAAATCTGTCACAACTCCAACGCATGGATGGCAAAGTGCTAATTTACAGAGTGTTGGTTTTGTGCAAAGTGTTCCAGACAGAGATAATCTCATTGTTTCATTTTGTTCTGGAGAGGTTCATCTTCTGGCAAATGAAGTTATAAAAGTTGTTCCATTGGACAGGGGACAACATGTACAATTGAAAGAAGAAGTAAAAGAGCCTAGGTATGAAGGGTTCTTTACATTTATGTCCAAAGTTAGTGAGTCTCTTTGAACATTGTTAATAACATTTCTTTTGGTTTATCATATCTACTTTTGGCAAGAACATTGGAATAACTAAACTTCTCCGAGTAATAGTCACATATCCTAAGCATACCAGATGAGAACTCGTAGTTATTGTGAGAAATTGATGGTTCAGATTGCTTCTTTAATTGTAAATCTCATGTGATTTTTTGCCTTAATTAAAAATTGTGGTAGACTTTTATAAGATCCCATGAAATCAAGAAGAAACATGAACTATAAATTTTAATTCAGTGGTTGTAATTAAATGTTTCATTTCTCACATTAAATAAGAGTTCTCACCTGATATTCTCTCCTTCCCTCTGTATTCTTAAATCTTAGTGACTGTTGGAATTTTGGGGTTTCAGTAAGGAAGGAGAGAATAGAGACTGAGAATAATAAGACATTTGGTTGATGAGGTGTAATATATTGTGATACAAATGCCACAGCACTAACACCCTTTAAGTACTAGACTCTTCATCCTAATAAAGTAAAGTAACTAAGAACTATATCTTATTGAAGATAAGAGAAAGCTTTATGCAATTATCCTTAAAATAACATTTAATCCTTATCCCTTATGCCTCATTATTTCCCTCATAGGTATTTTGTAATATTCAGTAACTCTCCCTTAAGCTAAAGCTTTCTATGTTTACTAATGAGCATTGAAAGAAAGGTACACAGTAAACATGGCTGGAAAATCAAATTTTGGATCCTGGAGAATGGGTGTCACTTGAAAGATTCATCAGTAAGTTGTTGCTAGGTAACCCCTGGTAGTAGTTAGCTATGTTAGGTTAAGAAATACTAGGGGTTATGTTAATGAGCGTGCAACTATTGGTTTATGTTAGTAGATCAGTAGCTGTGTGTAAATACGAAGAGGGACTAAGGGATTTCCATCTCATGTGAGAGGATTGGAGCCTTTTGGCATTAGGAGGCGCAGACCCTTGAAGTTCTTGAATCATACTGTGAACAAGAGAATTTCCCCATTTTCTCTATAAATCTGATCCAGTTCTTATCAACGAGGTCTGATCTTGGAGCTATGTGGTTGTGAAAATGATTAAAAAATTTGATAGAAAGATGATTCAATGTTTTGATGGGATGGGCAATGCCTATTGGTGGCTGAGCAATTTAGATCAGTATTTTGAAGGCCTAAGAGTACGTGAGGTGGAGAAGCTATCTTAGGTTTGGATGGCATTGAGAGTAGTCACTTCAAATTGGTGATTTTCTTGGGTGAATAGTGCCCCAAATGCCACATTTTTTTATCTTGGTAAGGCTGTGCTCTAGCTGTTCCAACCATAGCTTGGTGTTTATCTTCATGATTCTGGACCTGGAGAGCAGAATACAAAGATAAAGTTCAAGGAAAGTGCCAGGAATCAACGGGGCATATAGCAGAAGCTGACGAAAAAATTGAGGGAAGTCCTATCTTTGACACAAAGGAAGATCCAACAACCAAACTGAAGGTAACATTGGAGGTTTTGGGTTTGGGTAGTACCATCAATTCTCCACAGAATCACAGTAAAGTGGAGAATATTGATAATTCTCAGCTACAACCACGTGCAGTAATATGTGATATTCTCTGTAAAATTAGAGGCTGTAAGGCACTGTTTTAGGCCAAACATACTGCTGAAAATAGAGTACTATAGGAGAATGGATGCATTCACATTTTTCTGTTGATCTGGAGGAATGGAAACTATTCTTGGACTGCAGGGTGGAATTGGCTTAGCCATCATTCTTCAAACGAGTGAGCAGCTTGTAACTTCTGTCTCTAATTTTGAAGGAATAATATTCTATTTTATTGTATCAATTATGAGGTCATTGGACCTATAAATACATGAGCCTGCTTGTTATTTCAGGAAATATGGACAGCTAATTCTAAGGAGACAAATCCCTGTGATTATAGCATTGTTTCTAATACATAAACCTAGTATTGATTAGCATGATACAACTGTAATAAAGGATAAAATAACGACAAGAATAAAATATAAAACTTCCAAAAATACACAATGAGTAACACGGTTTTGACATTCTGAAATGAAGTTACTTCCATCATCCAATCCATCTTGGCCTTGCACTGGCAGCAGTGCAGTTTGCAAGAGAACCAAGGGATCTTCTTGTTATAACCGAAGAGGCTTTGATGATCTGTTTCATGGACAAATTGACTGTACAAAAGGAGCATTAGAAGAGCAGCATGGGGGCATTGACATGTTTGTGTTTGACCCAGGTGGAGTGAAGTCTATTCTTCATCTGCAGGATGGGGATGGCTTGATAATCATGTTCAACTAGTTAGAACCAAGATGGAACCTTTTTTGCAGCAACCAATTGCTCTTCACCTTGAGGACAAGGTGAATGATTGGGAGGAAGGGGAGTATTGTAGGTAACCGACATTAGTAGTTAGTTATGTTAGTTTAAGAAACACAAGGTGTTATATTTATGGGCCTGCACAGGCCCATTGAAGGTGGGATTATGTTAGTAGACCAGTAGCTGTGTTCAAATAGGAAGAGGAATTTCATCTTGTCATTTTAGAGGATTGGGGCCTTTGCACATTAGGAGGTGCAGACCCTCAAATTTCTGCAATCATACTGTCATCAAGTGAATTTTCCCATTTTCTTTATAAATCTGATCCAGTTCCTATCAGATGGCCGGATTGATCATCTGCCTGATCAAAATTTCTGGGTAAGCAATCAAGCCTGTGGTCCTGACTTGCCTGAACAACTTTTTAAAGCTTTAAACACCAGATAAATGTTGGAGATCTGAAAAGTTCAAAATTGACAAGACGGGTGTGAATCACGATGATGGAAATTAAGCTCTGAATTGCTAGATCCAGCACTGAAGCAGAATACCGAAGCAATGCATCAGCCGCCACTGAACTTCTATGGATTAAAACACTTCTTAGTGAACTAGCTATTCCTCAATGTGTTCCTGTTCTTTATTGTGATAATTTAAGTGGTGTTAATCTTTCTCATAATCCCATTCTACAGGTCAAGACAAAGCACATGGAACTTGATAATATCTTTTCTGTTCTATCTGTTGTAACTGACTATATGTTAGATATATTTCTCTTTTCTGTTTATTGTCAGTCGAACTGACATGATTAGTTATTTACAACTACTTGTCAGTGATTCTCTGACCTATATAAAGTATTCTGTCAGTGATTCTCTGACCTGTATAAAGGATTCTGTCAGAGAATACGAACTCTTCAGAATGTACATATTCAATTTAGTATCAATATACTTTTCTTTCAATATTTGAATCTGCCAAGTGACTCAACAATAAATGAAACTTAAACTGCAATTTATTTGGTTTTTGAATTTGTAACAGCTCATATGTGTTAGTTCAAGATAAGGTAGAGGCAGTCTTATGCTTCCTGAAGGAGGTTGCGTAGTAAAATCTGGCCAACAGGAGACTAAATAAAGATTCTGTAAGATATCAAAATAGAATGCCCTAGAATCTGGTGGTTCAGTGGTATCACCCACTTTTCTGATGCTTCTTCCATGTAGGTCTTATTACAATTGCTTTGGTATTGTATGGACTGGTGAAGAATGTCATGTGACAGGAGCCTAATTTAGTTTGGGAGCATCACACAATTTTTAAATATTACTGTTTGGTGGATTTATCTTACTGTGTTATTTATTCTCTACTCAAGGTTTTTGCTTAAACGAAAGTATCCAAGAGAAGGGAATGATAGTATACAAGACAACCTTGTGCTTGCCATGCTAGCAATCCTTGATGATTTTTGCAATATCATTTAATATTCATGAATGTGTCTGTTTTAGATTTGGTTGGCGGGGGCAGTCACGAGACAGCATTGGTACAGTATTATGTGTTGACGATGATGGAATCCTTCGTGTTGGGTTTCCTGGAGCATCCAGAGGATGGAAAGCTGACCCAGCAGAGATGGAACGTGTTGAGGAATTCAAGGTTGGAGACTGGGTTCGTATTCGTCCAACTCTTACATCTGCAAAGCATGGACTAGGATCTGTGACTCCAGGTAGCATTGGCATAGTATATTGTATCCGACCAGACAGTAGTCTGTTAATAGAATTGAGTTATCTTCCAAATCCATGGCATTGTGAACCAGAGGAGGTTGAGCATGTTGCTCCTTTTAGGGTAAGAAAAATGCAGATAATTTTCATTATATGCATTTATTTATCTCCATCTTCATTAGATGACTTTATTAAAAAAATTTGCCTTACAGATTGGTGATCGAGTATGTGTGAAACGATCTGTTGCGGAACCTAGATATGCTTGGGGCGGTGAGACGCATCATAGTGTTGGAAGAATAAGTGAGATTGAGAATGATGGTCTCTTAATAATAGAAATACCAAATAGACCGATACCATGGCAAGCTGATCCATCTGATATGGAGAAGGTGGAAGATTTCAAGGTAGCAATTCTATCTGTTGAAGTAGATCATTTGCTACTTCATAGTTTGTTCTTTATGTATGATGTCAGATGTCTTATTGGCTAGCCCTATTTAATTATTGTTTTGTCCAAAGCAGGTTGGAGATTGGGTAAGAGTGAAGGCTTCCGTGTCTTCTCCAAAATATGGATGGGAAGATATTACAAGGAATAGTATTGGTGTAATTCATGGCTTGGAGGAGGATGGCGATATGGGTGTTGCTTTTTGCTTCAGAAGTAAGCCTTTTTCTTGCTCAGTCACTGATATGGAGAAAGTTACTCCATTTGAGGTGGGAGAAGAGATTCATGTGTTGCCATCTGTTACTCAGCCACGACTTGGGTGGTCAAATGAATCACCAGCTACTGTTGGAAAAATAGTGAGAATTGACATGGATGGTTCTCTCAATGTAAGCTTAATTTGCTTTTTCTAGATATTATGCATGATTCTACACCTTCAATAGCTTTAATCTTACTATAACATCTGAAGTGTCTTCTATAACTATTGTTAAACAGGACCAGATACAGTTTTCTGTTGCACTGTTTAGTATTTTTAATCTCAATTTGGTGTGTAGAGTTTATAATGCTGTATAAATATGCCTGGAAAATAGCCTTCATCTGTATAAATGGCTGAATTTAAAGTTTCAAAGATAAGTTCTGAATGGGCCCAGTTGTAACATGAAATTCTATCTTTATGAATTGTTCAAGTCTATCCCCCAAGTAGGGTAGACTGGGTATAAGAATTTACCGGTCATCATGGCTGTAGTTTCTGCAAAAATGGTGAGATGCTGCTTGACAAATAACAAGTGTACAATCAGGCAAATGTCATTTTAAGAAAACCACCTCATATTTAGTTTTACTGGGATCCCTTCCTAAATTATGAGAAAATAGACTAAAATATTGCCCACTGTATCTAAGGAATTAAACAAAGCACAAAGCATTTACTCGACAATGGTATTAGTGGTTTCATCCTGAGAATACCTATAAGAACTGATTTTTCTGGTTTCTTTGTAGGTGAGGGTCACTGGTAGACAGAGCTTGTGGAAAGTTTCTCCTGGAGATGCAGAGCGGCTTCCAGGATTTGAAGTTGGGGATTGGGTTCGCTCAAAACCAAGCCTGGGTACCAGACCAAGCTATGACTGGAATAGTGTTGGGAGAGAAAGTTTAGCTGTTGTGCATAGTGTACAGGATTCTGGATACTTGGAGTTGGCTTGCTGTTTTCGTAAAGGAAAGTGGATCACTCATTATACAGATGTTGAAAAGGTTCCTAGTTTTAAAGTTGGGCAGTATGTTAGGTTTCGAACTGGTTTGGTTGAACCAAGGTGGGGCTGGAGAGGAGCTCAGCCTGAATCTCAAGGGGTTATAACCAGTATTCATGCCGATGGAGAAGTCAGGGTTGCATTTTTCGGTCTTCCAGGACTGTGGAGAGGAGATCCTTCAGACCTTGAGATCGAAAAAATGTTTGAAGTGGGAGAGTGGGTGAGGTTGACAGACAATGCGAATAATTGGAAATCAATTGGGCCAGGTAGTGTTGGGGTCGTTCAAGGAATAGGGTATGAAGGAGATGAGTTGGACAGAAGTATTGTTGTCGGATTTTGTGGGGAGCAAGAAAAGTGGGTAGGACCAAGTTCCCATCTTGAAAGATTTGACAAACTCATTGTTGGACAGAAGGTTAGAGTGAAACAATATGTGAAGCAACCAAGATTTGGATGGTCAGGGCATACCCATTCTAGTCTTGGGACTATACAGGCTATTGATGCTGATGGAAAGCTCCGAATATACACTCCAGCAGGATCCAGAACATGGATGTTGGACCCATCAGAAGTGGAGGTGGTAGAAGAGAAGGAGCTCTGTATTGGTGACTGGATAAGGGTTAAAGCATCGGTGTCAACCCCAACCCACCATTGGGGGGAAGTGAGTCATTCAAGCATCGGAGTTGTGCATCGAATGGAAGATGAGGATCTATGGGTGGCTTTCTGTTTTATGGAGAGGCTATGGCTTTGTAAGGCATGGGAAATGGAAAGGGTAAGGCCATTTAAAGTGGGCGACAAGGTTAGGATCAGAGATGGACTGGTGACCCCACGTTGGGGATGGGGAATGGAGACACATGCCAGCAAGGGACAGGTTGTAGGGGTAGACGCAAATGGCAAACTAAGAATAAAATTCCGGTGGAGAGAAGGGAGGCCCTGGATAGGAGATCCTGCTGATCTTGCCCTTGATGAGGACTGATAATACTATTTTAGGAATATGGAAGATTGTATCATAACTAAATATTCTCTCATTCAGCTCTTTAGCCTATGTTTTTCTGGGCTGAGCTTGTGCAAAGTGGGAAGCATTATGCGTTCTGCTACTAGATGTGCTCTGAACCATAACTCCTTTCACAAGGTTGGAATGCTGTTTGGCCACATGTATTGATGTTAATAAATAGAGGAGTGAAAGAATTGAAGCTGTGGAGATAGGAAATTGGCTTGTTGACGGGTTGTGGAAGATATAAAGGCAGTTCAAACAAATATTGGCACTTGGCTCATTTATATTCATTAATCACAAGTTTGTAGTCCCAGATTTTGAGGTGTATATCATATGTATGTTTATTTCATATTGTACAAATTGTACTCAACAGTCAACTTAATGCATTTTTTTGACTCACCATTATATGCAGTTGCATAATTCTTAAATACAATTCATTACATTATACACGTTCTGTGCGTTTCTGCTTTGGCAAAACATCTTGCTTATGGTTGTCTGTCACTGTCACACTTCAATAAGTTCTCCAATTCGTTGCTTTGTGAACACCCCATGAACCAACTGGTATTCCTCGTTAAGATGTCTTCTCGAGTAAAGAATTTTTTTTTACGTATGCATGCATAATTCAATTCATGAAAAAGTTAAATAAGAAATAATGCTTGGTAATTCTTTTAAAAATTCAACATTTCACTGTAATAAAAAAACATAATTATTAACAATACTACAATTACTAGTAAATTGGTTTAAAGTTATTAATATAAAAAAATAGTTTTAAATTATAGTCACCAGTACATTTAGATAATATAATATAAAATTAAAAATATATAAAAACTTGAACAACTTTTGAGTAAATTATTTAAAATAAATAATATAAAAATATTACGAAAAGAATTAATAAAAAATAAATGTTGGTAAAAAAACTTTTTTTTTTTAATTTATCATTTTCATTGTTATTTTATATTGACCCCTGATTACGAATTACATATTAAAATTAGGCAACGGCTATTTTAATTCATAAGACAATTTGTTATTACATACGGTAAAAAAACCTTGTACTAGTTATGGAAGCTATTAGGAACTGGGGTGTCAACGTGAACCTAGTTCCACTTCAGATCTCTTCCTATTCTGTGTATGTCATTGCTTTTAGAAAAAGGTTAACATTACTTATTTGGCAATTCTTTTCAATGAAAACATAGTTTAAAAAACAAGAAAACAATATCTCTTGTATACAAAAGTGGCAACTTGTAATTCCCAGTTCCATGCCGGCCACAGAAAAACATGTTCAATGATCCAAGACGGGAACCAAATTATGGTTGCAAGAGGGTGAGATGAAATCCATTATCCAAAGAACAATACCTCACAATCTAAGAATGGTAAAAATTGTGGTTGTGATCCACAAGGATTGGTACCATAGACTTCTTGGTAGTATGATGATAGCACATTCATCGTCAAACACTTCATTCTGTTAAATTTCTGCCCAAAATTTCATCATCAAATTACTTATCCTTTCGAATAAAAGTTTTTCAAATTTACTTTCTAGAATAGTTTTGAAAACTAAAAGCCAAAAAGACAATCAACCACACCTTATGTAATCCTCACAGGAAATATCTTCCCTAAAACAAATGTCACTAACGTTTTCATCATTGCCCCCTTGATCCTCCCTTGCATTCCTCATGCCATTTACAGAAGCATTGCAAGGCATCCCTCATCCATGCATGACGGCAGCTTCCCAGTGCCTCGGACACAGCTAACCAACTCCTTTTTCTGGTGCTTTTCTCTGGCCATGACTCAAGTTCCTCCTTCACAAACAAGGCAAACATTGCTGCTTTACATAAACCTTCTGGACTGCACTCATCTTGGAGGGTTTTACTCCTAAACTCATAGAACCCAAGAAAATCCTGACACCAAGAAGCCACAATACTAATCATCAGTTTGCATTTCTCCATTCAAATAAAATCTTAAGCAACATAAAAACATCCAGCAGCCTTGTATTCTGTAAAACCTAACAAAATCAAAAGACTAGGGGATTCAACGAACAGCAAGTTATGAATGAAAGGTTTCAGAACCTGCCAAACTCATCAAATTTTTGCTCAAATCTGAAAGAGTAGCATATGAGAGTTACTGATGTGATAATATTTACATTATAATTTTTGGAACAAAGTTTGCTAACTTAACCCTAACTCTTACTTACTTAGATGTTAATGTGGCCTCAACTGGTTTCATATAGATGCAAAGTTGGCTCAAATTTTATTTACTTTCTTTTGCAAACTTATATTGTTGTCATCTGCTAGTTTACACATATGATGTGAGAGCATGATTTGATTTTCATATCAGCTTCCTAGACCCCTCCAAAAAAATTCACTTTTTAAAACATTAAAATGTTAAAGTGATAGAATGTGATGGGTCCATTGTTGGGCTTAATGGCCAGCACTTACGAGCTAACAAATAAAGAAGAAAAGTGATAAGTGGACATAACAGAAAGAACAAGTGATGAGTGAAGAGAAATTTGAAAATAATTCTATATAGAGGAAAAGGTGTCTATAGGTGGTATTAAGGAATTTGTTAGAAGGAGGAATATTCGTGGGACTGCGAAGAAGCTGGTTCTTCCTTAGAAAAGGGTTCTATAGTTTCAGTTATTTGTTTGTGTTATATTGTTCATCTTGTGAAACGTTTGTATACCTTTGATATATTTCTAATTTGGTATCAATATTACTTTTGTTTTACCATTTCTATTCTGGTTCCTATCAGCACATTAAATTAATTCATATATTTGGAGAAGCTTTGCACCATTAGGTCTCCTCGAACTCCTGCTTCTTCAATAGCTTCTCTTACAGCAGCCTGCTCAACAGTTTCATCATTCTCCCAACCTCCCTTCAATAGCAAAGCAAAACCACACTAATCAGAAAATGAGATCTCAACTCAGGAGCCATTCGAAATAGAATTTACAGCTTATGTGAATATATTAATTTAGAGAAACAGATCCTTCCTTCCTAATTTGCAGGAAATTTATTATGAAACAGTAAAACCTTTATCATCGGGCATGTTAAGCAATCGAATAAATCCATCTCATCAATATGTCAATATAGGCTGTTACAACAAATTACACTAGAGTCTTGAGTTATCCAAGCGCTTAAAGATTGGCCTTTAAAGTGTTGTACAACAAGGTACCTAATTTTTGTATTGTTTAAATTAGGATGACAGAAATTCCAGAACCTTATTCACTTTGTAATCCTCTTTCAGATAGTGGAGGAAAATTAAACTGGTAGTTAAAAAAACAAAATCACTTATTTTCAATTAGTGATTAATGATTCATCATCATCATCATCATCATCACACTGGACTTGTAAGAAATTTTTCTAAACTATGTTGAACAAGACAACAATATCATTCAATCAACTTATCCTTTGAAAACGAGTAGCTAGTGAAAAATCTCAGAATAAAGCTACAGGCTCGTCAAATTTCTCTTAAAGATAGGCCAGATACCTAAGGTTGAAGCAGGGTGGGGTAGGATCTCATACTGGTTATAACAGCTACATGTATGCACCAGGTGACCTAAAACCCCTTCATGCACAAAACAGTAAGTGTCTATCTTGCTTATTAAATGTGTGAAATAGCAAGCTACAAGCTTGAACTTTCTTTCCTTTCTCTCAAGAAGCCATATTATATCAAAGGCAGAATAACAACCAATGAAAATTTCCCTGTAACAAAAGAGCATGTATAATTGAATGGAAACAAACTAAATCAGTTTTGTCAAAGCAGTTTTAATGGGAATCTTTATGACCATTGCTGTTTGACACAAGAAATGGATTGGCATCCTCTGGTGCTGCAAGAATGTTCTATTAGAAAGATAGACACAAATTTCAATGTGTGGATGATGAGACCCATATGGAGATGAAGCCCAAAGAACCATTGGCTCATTCTTATTGGGAGAGTACTGATCCTAGCAAGTGGAAAGTGTACATGAGAAGAAGGAAGAAAGGCACGATGCAAGGATGCTGAGGTGGCAGAGTTGTTATAGTGAGAGAAAGAGGAATTCTGTTATATAGGATGTTTAGAGAGAGAGAAAAAAAAAAGAAAGAGAGGAGAATGTTTTGGGTATAGAGAATCACCTTGTTTTCTCGGTATAGCTCTGCTATGGGCAATTGGGGTTTCACTCCTTTTGTTTTTCCTATCTTTTCATTAATATCATATTCATTTCCATCATTTACGGTGCCCTATTTTATTTCTGTAATTTTGGTATCCAACAATTTGGTCCGACTTGCCGGATTCATTGACACCAGTGGATGCCAAAAGGGAGAAAGAAGAAAACCATCGTACAGATTGAGGAATTAGCAGAGGAGGATAACATGGAGTCACAAGTGAACTTGTTGGAGGCTGAAGTGTCACGGATGAGAGTGTTGATGGAGGGGCTTAAGGCTCAAGCAGAAGCACAAACGAAGCTGATGGAGGCAGTTGCTCTTAGTTTGTCGAACGGAGGAAGGAGGCGAACCAATAGGCTCGAAAAAGGAAAACAAGAGTGTTTATGGGTCTGGATTGCGCCCTCTTCAAGGAGATGCAATGGAGGAATTTCGACAATTAATCAAGAAGATCGAACTGCCCCTATTTAATGGTGACAACCCCGCTAGCTGGATTACTAGAGCTAAAATTTATTTCAGAGTCTGGGAAACCAGTGAGGAGGTGAAGGTCAATTTGAAACAATTGTGCAAGGAGGGAGACACAATTCATTTCTTCAACTCTGGTGAATGACAGTGAAGATTTGTCTTGGGAACAATTGAAGGAAGCTCTATTGGAGAGGTATGGAGGTTTGGGAGAAGGAAGCATTTATGAGCAATTTACAGTGCTCAAACAACTAGGACAATTGGGGAAAGTAGAAGAATATATCAAGAGTTTTGAGTATTTGGTTGTTCAGGTACCTCGTATTTCTGACGATTAGTACTTTGTCTATTTCGTTTTGGGGTTGAAGGACGACATTAGGGCGCGTCTTAGGAGTATATAGTCAGTGACGCCATTGACACGAGGACGGATGTTGAATGCTACTAGAACGCTGGAAATGGAGATGGCTTCACGAAGCAAGAACTATGGTGGGTTGGACAGTCAAGACTCATGTTTTGGGTCTAATAGTCAAGCCCAAGAAAAAACTCATTCGTATGGTGAGAAAAGTAATTTAGGTGTGGACTGGAATTTCAGAAGGGATGTTAAGAGCAACCTTGGAAGGGGCACAACTAATGGGTCAGGCCCAAAGAATGAGATGGTAGACAAAGGGAGACATGGGCCACGTGATAAGGGCATAAGACATCTATCCTATCAGGAGCAAATTGATTGAAGGCAGAAAGGATTATGTTTTAAGTGTGGTGGGACCTACCACCCTTCCCACACATGTCCAGATAAGCCGATAAAGATAATGATATTAGAGGAGGGAAATACGCAGATAGAAGGGGAGGTTGACAGCTCACTAGTTGAGGGTGACGAGATTGACGATGACGTAATAGAAGGAAACTGCAGCGTTTTAAATCTCCAAAGTTTAGTGGAGGATAAGTCCACTCATTCACACACTCTGAAATTTGAGAGGTAAAATTAAAGAAGTTCCTATTTTGATTTTGGTTGATAGTGGGGCAACCCACAATTTTATTTCCCAAAAATTAGTGGAATCCCTGGATTGGGAACGTGAAAACATGAGGGGCATGAAAGTCTTGATCGGCAATGGCTATTTGACCCAAACCCAAGGGTTGTGTCGTGGCTTGGAGGTGGAGCTCAACGGAGGAAATTTTGAAGTGGATGCCTATTTATTTGAGTTGCAGGACATTGATATGATACTTGGAGTATCGTGGCTAGCAGCATCATTAGGGGAGATGTTCGTCAATTGGGGAGATCAAGTCATGAAGATCAAGACTCTAGAGGGCATTCAAATTCTGAAAGGAGTAATGCATCCAAAAACATCCCTACAGCGTTAAAGGTGATGATTGAGGACAAATCTGAGGTGCAAGGGAAGGACGTGTCAAAACTCTCTCCAAAGCAATGTGAAGAGTTGCAAAGGTTGTTATGCCAATTTGATGTTGTCTTCCAGAACTCCAAGGGATTACCTCCAAAGCGATCAAAGGAACATGCAATCACGCTACTGCCTGGGGAAAGGCCTATCAGTGTACGCCCTTATCGTTATCCTTATCACCAAAAAAATGAGATAGAAAGACAGATTCGAGTATTGTTGGAGGATGGTCATATTAGGCCTAGTCAGAGTGCCTACTCAAGCCCAGTATTGTTGGTAAAAGAGAAAGATGCTTCTTGGATATGTGTGTTGATTTCAGAGCACTAAATAAGGTCACCATACCAAACAAGTTCCTAATTCCGGTGATTGAAGAACGGTTGGATGAGTTACATGGATCTCACTTCTTTTCGAAATTGGACCTAAAATCTGATGAAGGAGGAGGCCATTACCAAAACAGCTTTCAGAACCCATGAGGGCCATTACGAGTACTTGGTAATGTCTTTCTGGTTAATGAACGTCCCTTCAACCTTTCAGGCCCTCATGAATGAAGTTTTCAGGCAGCAGATGCTGAAGTATGTTCTAGTCTTCTTCGACGACATTTTGATATATAGTGTGGATTGGAAGACTCATTTGAGTCACTTGGAGGAAATTCTACTTATTTGGTCAAAAAAGTGTGGAATACTTAGGCCACATTATTTCCAAAGAAGATGTGGAAGTGGACCCAGCAAAGGGGGTGCGTGGCTTCTTGGGATTAATAAGGTATTACCGAAAGTTCATCAAGGAGTATGGGAAAGTGGCCAGGCGCCTCACAAATTTGACGAAGAAAGATGCATTTTGTTGAAATGCAAGTGCTCAACAAGCCTTTGAGGAACTTAAAAGAAGGATTACGACAGCCCCAGTATTGGCACTTCCTAATTTCAGTCAACCGTTTGAAATAGAGTGCCATGCCTCCGGTGTGGGGATTGGAGCTATCTTGATGCAGCAAAAATGTCCGATAGCTTTTTTTAGCAAGGCTTTGGGAAGTAGGAATTGGGCCAAGTATGCGTATGAGAAGGAATTAATGGCCCTTGCTCTATCTATATAGCATTGGCGTCCCTATTTGTTAGGGCGCAGGTTTGGGGTGTACACTGATCAAAAGAGTCTGAAGCAAATCTTGCAGCAACGTGTGACTAAAGGAAACCAACAAAATTGGTTGGCAAAGCTATTAGGATATAACTTCGACATAATTTACAAACCGGGCCATGAGAATCGGGGTGCAGATGCTCTGTCAAGGAGCATGGAAGATGGTGAATTGCGTGCAATGGTCTATTTTCCCCATATGGGTGGACTCTCAATCACTAATTGCTGAGGTTCATTCAGATGAGAAGTTGAAGAAAATTATTGAGGAAGTGAAAGTGGATCCTCAAGTTCATTCTATCAACAAGGAGTTTTGTTTTATAATGGTAGATTAGTGATTTCTGAAAAATCTACTTGGATTTCAGTTTTGTTGCAAGAGTATCATTCCACACCCCAAGGTGGTCACTCGGGTTTTCTTAGAACCTATAGGATACTTGCTGAAAATATGTACTAGAAAGGAATGAAAGAAAAAGTTCAACAATTTGTGAGGGCTTGTGATACTTGTCAACAGCAGAAATACTTAGCTGCTGTACCTGGGGTTTACTGCAGCCCTTACCCATTTCAGATCGTGTTTGGGAGGATATATCGCTGGATTTTATTACAGGCCTTCCAAAATCACAAGGTTTTGAAGCAATCCTTGTGGTGGTTGACCCTTTGAGTAAGTATGGTCATTTTATTCCACTGAAGCACCCTTAGACAGCCAAATTAATTGCATGTGTTTGTGAAGGATGTAGTTCGTTTGCATGGTGTTCCCAACTCAGTGGTTAGTGACCGTGATCCTTTGTTTATGAGCCAATTCTGGAAGGAGTTCTTTAGAGTGCAAGGAACTAATCTAAAAATGAGCACTGCGTACCATCCACCAACGGATGGACAAACAGGGGTGGTAAACCGTTGTATTGAGACCTACATATGTTGTTTCATTTCTAATCAACCAAAAGATTGGGTGCACTGGATTCCATGGGTAGAGTACTGGTACAATACTACATACCATGTGTCCACAGCAGCATCACCTTTTGGAGTTATATATGGCCGCAAACCACCCATTTTGGTTCACTGTGTCCAAGGTGAGGTTCGGGTCGAATCAGTCCAGAGGGAATTGCTGGACCGTGATGAGGCTTTGAGACAATTAAAAATTCATCTACAACGTGCTCAGGTTAGGATGAAAGCTCAAGCGGATGAACACAGGCAGGAAATAAGCATCAAGGTGGGGGAATGGGTATTTTTGAAGCTGAAACCTCACCGTCAACATTCAGTGATGGCGAGAATCTGTCCTAAGTTGTCTGCAAGATATTATGGACCGTTTGAGATCTTGGAGCGTGTTGGGGCTGTGGCTTATAGACTAAAGCTTCCGCTAACTTCAAGGATCCATCCCGTTTTTCACGTTTCTTTATTAAAGAAGGCAGTGGGTAATTATTCTGTGCAACCTGAATTGCCAACAGGATTGGAGGGTGACAATGAAATTCAGTGGGAGCCCAAAGCGGTATTGGCCACTCGTAGCATTTGGAAAGCTGGTGATAGAGTCAATCAATGGCTCGTGCAATGGAGTGGAAGGACAGTTGATGAGGCCACTTGGGAAGATGAGATCGTGTTGAGGAGCCAATTTCCCACTCTTAGTCTTGAGGACAAGACTTTTGCTGCAGGTGGGGGCAGTGATGAGGCCCATATGGAGATGAAGCCCAAAGAACCATTGGCTCATTCTTATTGGGAGAGTACTGATCCTAGCAAGTGGAAAGTGTACGTGAGAAGAAGGAAGAAAGGTACGATGCAAGGATGCTGAGGTGGCAGGGTTGTTATAGTGAGAGAAAGAGGAATTCTGTTATATAGGATGTTTAGAGAGGAAAAAAAAAAAGAAAAAGAGAGAGGAGAATGTTTTGGGTATAGAGAATCACCTTGTTTTCTCTGTATATGAGCTCTGCTCTGGGCAATTGGGGTTTCACTCCTTTTGTTTTTCCTATCTTTTCTTTAATATTGTATTCATTTCCATCATTTACGGTGCCCTATTTTATTTCTATAATTTTGGTATCCAAAAGTGGAGATCCACCACGATAGGCAATTGAGTCCATTAGTAAAAGGAAAAAAACCAATTGTGTCTGTATTTTTCTACCAGGACTCCGTTAGTTTATGAACAAGAAAGGATCCAAATCCAAATTTATTGCACCAATCATCTCAAATAGGTTTGAATTTTTTACTGTGAGAACTCTAAACTACATTGAACATGGAATTGATGCAAAAGTTAAGCCAGGATGTGTACTGCAGTAGTCCTTAACAACAAAAAGATTTTTATTTCAGATCCTTTCTCTAACCAGAGAATGCATCATAAAATTCTTGATGAATAATTATAGAAACCATAAGTGTAAGTTGCAAGAGAAGGGCACTCCTCATAACTCAATAACATAATACAAACGCATATTTGTATTCCAAAAATCACACCTTCGGAAACAAAAGACCTGGTCCGCTAGTTGAATTAATCATAAGAACTTCAACAATCTTAGAAGAACCCCCACAGTCATCACCATCTCTATATCTAAATGGCACACACCTGCAATACAATTATCATGTACAGCACAGATCAAACCTCCAAGTATATGAATCAAAATTTTCAAACTTCAAGTAAGTCCTATGGCTAAAAAACTTGGTTAACACACTAAAAGCTGCTTCACCTAAAAGGCCAAAAAATTTGGATAACAGACATATCCTTATTCTTTTCTTTTGGCTACAATTTGCAAGTTGATTTTAGTTGGATTGATAATATTTAGTGTAAGAAAATCATCTTTCATCAAGACAAATATTAACAGTATAGATGACAACAGAATGCAGCAACAAAACTAAATCTACTTACAGGCAGATCTTCAAAATCAACCATATTCGTGAAAATCTGATATATTGTGTTTTCCATGTCATTTACTATTCACTCTCCATAAAATTTTGAAGACTAACATGAAACTCCTACACACAAGCCAAGATGAAGATTATAAACTACATTCAGATTACTGTAGTGCCTTTGCAGAGGGACGAAAAGACCATTGAGCTGAGGAAAACGATACACATGGACTAGTAAAAGATGCCTTGGCATCAAAGAATCTTAACCAAGAGGGAGATGGTTGCAGCATGCCATTGCCAATTTTATAATTCATGCATCCCTAAAATTCAAGTCCCAATAGACACTAAAGCCAATTCACCATCGTTTAAATAAAACAATACACTCTCATACTACAGCTACAGAGCACAAAAAATCTCTAATCCATATCTTCCATTCCTGGTAACCAGTTTTCCTTTATTTCCATAAAGCTTGAGACAAACAATGTTAATTAATTCAAAATTGGAGCTACACATAAATATACAAATTAAAAAGTTCCTTTTTTTACAGTATTTTTTTCTTTTTTTCAAAAAGACACAAACACACAAAAAAATGCTCATCAAGAACAACCAATGACAATACGTGAAACAACCAGAAATCTAGAACCACCTCAAGGAAAAAAAAAAAAAAAAATCTTGGCTTCAGTACTTCGGTTTCGCATAAAGCCCTTACAAAATCCTAAATTCATAAAATATAACCGACAAGACCAAAACTTAAATGCCAAAACTCAGGACAAAACTAAATATAACCCAGCATTGATTTTATTCATCACTAATAAAATCATAAATTCTTGAAATTATTAATTAGTTGTACCCATGTCTGTACCAATGTTTTTTAGCTCACAATTTTGCCCTTCACCTTCCATCTAGACAGTGTATATGTTTTTATCATTATAAATAAGATATAATGTTTGAGGTGTGATTAAGTCCTCTAATAACTATTTTCTCTCATTTATTTTATCCTAGTACTTTAAATGATTTTCAAAAACCCCACACCAAGTGTGTTCAAAATAGTGTGATATATATATAAGAAAAAAGGTAAACTAAGCTGGTTTCACGTTAGAATCAGCTGGTATTGTAGATGTGGAATAAATCATATTAGAAGGGAACACTCATCCTGATTGACATTTTTTTTAGATGAATAATTCTTATCAATATTATGTATGAATTAATAAAAATAAAATAAAACAAAATAAAAGGAAGAGGAAGAAAATGACGAACCCGGCAATAAGGCGATACCCGTGTTCGTATCGCTGCTGATGCCGACCCGTTCGGGCCACCAATTCAGCCATCATAACAATCCTACAAACAGCTTCCTCTCTCTCTCTCTCTCTATTTTTCTCTTTGGATTTCAATCACAAAACCAAACAACGATCACTAGTCCCCATTACAGGATCCCAAATGCACACGCCCACACCAGATTCCCACCCACGCAACCCCGTCCACGACTCGGCGTTTCATCCGCCACCACCCAACGCCATTGTCGTTTTAAGAGCGAGAGAGAAGGACTCAGCAGAAAATCATGAAAACAAGAGTGATGTTGTTTTGTGTTGTTTGTGAGTGAGAAACGGTAGAAAGAACACGAAGCGATTGTAACGGATCGGATCGGAACTGTCCCCGCCACGTAGTTCCTCATCAGCGTCTGGGTCCCACTTATAGGACGTTGCGGTTTAATGACCTCTGCATGACGGACCACACTATCTCAGTGCATGCACCTCTATGATATGGACACGTGGAGGACAAGATTTTCTGAAGGACGTGATGTCGGGGATAGCAGCAGCTGCATTGTAGGGGCGAAGCAGGGGACTTCCAGGTTGTGGAAGGGATCCCGCATTGGGGGTTTGATTTGATGGGTTTATTGAATATCACGATCTTGTGGGACCCTCAAATCACAATTTCGTTTTTATGAAACAAATAATATATATATTATCTCAAGTACAATTGCACCTCTAAGTATTAAAGTTTAATTATAAATTAATTACTGCTAAATTGATTCTTAAAATTAGATATAATATTCTAAAATCAAATTTAAACTTGATACTATCACTTTTGGTTAAAAATACTTAATATTTATCCTATGATATCAATCTCCAATTGCCAGCATCCCTAGCTTGAGTCACCCGTTCACAGTTTCATAAACCCGCCTCCTCCACCACCTTGCCGCGCTTCCAGAAGACCCTCAATCTTCTACTTCAAGCTTTTCAATCTTCAATAGTTCTCTTCATCTCCTCACCAAAATAAATGGGTGAGCCCAAAGTTAGAGATATCAGACGCTATTTCTGCAAGTTTTGCGGTGTTTGCAGATCCAAAAAGGCCCTCATCACCTCTCACGTCAATTCACATCACAAGGTACCCCTTTTTCCTTATTGTACTTTCTGTTATGCAAGATTTTATTTTTCGCTACATAACCTCATTTAAATGTCAACTGGGTAAATATGTGTAGTTACTCATGCGTGGTTTTGAATTTTCCTTTGGTGTGTTTTAGGAGGAGGTCGAAAAGGAAAGAGCTAAAAGAGAAAGAGCACCCGAAGCTGAAGCTGTGAAAACCAACACGTGCGGGGAATGCGGTGCCGGTTTCAAGAAACACGCTTATTTGTTGCAGCACATGCAAAGTCATTCGCTTGAGGTAATGCTAATAACACGTTTTCTATTACCAAAGTTATATAGATTCTGTAAATCTATATAAATTTTAATTAATAGCAAAATGTGTATCCGAAAGAATGCGTTAGAGCATCTCCAATGCAGGAAATCTACTTTAGTGAGTCCGTTGTTGTTACATCGGATTCAATAACAATCACTGATCTTTGAATCCAGCTTCCATGCAATGATTTTTACACGCATTCAGCATTTCACAACCGTTGAATGAAGATTGGATTCATTGAAAATATTTTATGTCGGTCAATCAAGTTAAAACGCGCATAATCTCAATTGTCTGATCTACACTTCACTGTTATAAATGCGTGAATGTGGGAAATAGCAGCTGTTTGAATCTGGCTTCCTAATTTTCACTCCAATGATAGCACTCAACTTGAGTTCTTAACTTATTTTTAGTTGGTCCCATTCTCTCTCTCTACTCATAAGATCTCCCTTTTTGACTTGAATTTTATTTTAATGGTTGAGTGACCTTGCTTTTAGTTGCCTTTATAAGCTACTTTTGTAAGGACTCCATAAGAACTCATTTTCTCCAGTGGTATTCAAGTTTCTGAACCTTAAGAACCAACAGTAGTAACAACTATAGAGTTGATTTTAGAGAGTATGTTGTTGACACTCTTTCTTGCCTGATGATAAAGAGGGCATTGTTTTATTTTAAAGAGTATTTTATTCTTTACATTCTGTTTTATCCAGTATCATTCCTTCAAAATTGTTTTGTGGGAGGCGTGGCTTTATGTTGTAAGTTGGTTGTGTTAGTTGTTACATGGACTGAAGATGCATATTTTGCAGGAAAGTAGTTTATGACCCTCTAAAATCGTTGGAAAACTTATGGATGTTATAGTGTGAAGCATTGGATCCCACAGAAAGAACTCCAAAATGCATGAGGCAGCATGTTTAGACTTGATGGATCAGTATCAGGTAGGGAGACCTCCTGTGAAGCTCCATCAAGGATGCCTCGTTCACGCAAAATTGAGGTTGACAGTTTGATCGTTTATGTTTTGTTCTTGTCAAGGCATGATGGTAACGGTATTTTTTTGGTTTCTGACTTTGACATGCTTGTGGGTGTTTGGTGGTTCCAGAGGCCATATGTGTGTGTTGTTGATGATTGTCAGGCAAGTTACCGAAGGAAGGACCACCTGACTCGTCACCTTTTACAGCATCAAGGGAAGATTTTTAAATGCCCTGTTGAGAACTGCAGCACTGAGTTCTCTTTGCAAAGCAATGTGACACGACATGTTGAGGAGGTCCATGATGACAGTTCTACCTATACCAGTGACAAAACTCACATGCAGCATACATGTCCAGAAATTGGCTGTGGAAAGATTTTCAGATTTGCATCACAGCTACGAAAGCATGAAGATTCTCATGGTAGGTTTCATGCCTTCTGGTTTTATGTATTACTTAGCAGAATTTCCCTGCGATTTTTGTAAGGCACTTCTTTATGGTGAAAGATGTTAGGCACAATTTTGAAGAAAGCCTTTATTGCACAGTTAAGCTGGAGTCAGTAGAACTGGTGTGCTTAGAGCCTGGTTGCATGAAAAATTTCACCAATGCTCAGTGCCTTCAAGCCCATGTAAAATCCTCTCATCAATACATGACCTGTGAAACATGTGGTACTAAGCAGCTAAAGAAGAATATTAAGCGTCACCTTCGTTCACATGAAGCTGTCAGTTCATCAGAGACCTTTCGATGCGGGTTTAAGGGTTGTAGCTGCACATTCTCAAGAGTAAGACTTATTCATTCTTAGATATATTTGGTGTATGCTCCAACTGAATTCCCAACTTGGTTACAAGTTGAAATTCCTTTTAATATTTTCATGGTTATGTGTCAACAGAAATCTAATCTTGGGAAGCATAAGAAGGTTGTGCACTTTAAGGAAAAGCCTTTTGTGTGCGGATTTCCTGACTGTCGCATGAGATTTGCTTACAAACATGTGCGAGATAACCACGAGAAAACCGCAAAACATGTTTTTACCCTTGTATGTTCTTTGCCTTCCTATTGTTGTTTTTTCATAAAGGTATCTGATTGATAGGTATCCTAGTTTGTGCAGAAAGTTATTTGAGAAGTGATAGTTTGTTTTGCCATTGTATAAATATAGTCATAAGATTTCCATGGCACAGGGTGATTTTGAAAAGGCTGATGAGGAGTTCAGGTCAAGACCAAGGGGAGGGAGGAAGAGAAAATGTCCTACGGTTGAAATGTTAGTCAGGAACAGGGTTACCCAACCGAGTGAATTGGAGAGTTGGTTACTCATGCAGGATAGTGAGTAAGGTGCATTCAGCTTTGTATACTCTTGATACAAGTAGACAAAGTGTAAATCTAGTGTGTTGAAATGAGTATAAATAATAAGTAAGTTGAATACATTTGGTATTAATATTATAAGATATGTGATAGATATGCCATCATGGGCATTTGTTATCAGCTATGTTTGAATTGGTGAAGTAGATGTTAGGGAGAAGAATTAAACATGATTGAAAGAAGTGGAAGAAATTATTCTTATGCTTCTCTTTAATAATATTAGTATTAAAAATCTCACCCTGTTAACTTCAAGCTTGCATTTAAAACCATGCAAAGATAAAATAAAATTCAGTGACGTTGTGACGTAGGATAAGAAGTGCTTTTTTAGTGTGATGCTGAGAGACTGAACATTAAAAGACAAAGACTAATATAATAGAAAGGAAAATGAATCACTTCATGACTACAAAGATCTCTCCTTGAAATTACTTGTGTTTTATATTGTCTAAAATACTTAGATGATCTTTCAATTATTGTTAGTAAAAGTTGCATTGGTTTTAAAGTTTGTAATGTAAAATAATTAATTTAAAAGAAAAAGCCAGTGATAGCTTTCATATTTTGGATTAGGCCCAAGCCCAATCTATTCTTCATTGCCAATAAGCCCAACATTCATACAAAGAAGTTGACTAAAATCAACAAGCGCTGCTAAAGCTTTATGAACAACACGTGATAACGGTTTGTAATGAACAATTTGTTCCTAAATAATTATATCAAGTGGGAGGAGATTTCAGGTTCAATGGATGTTACTGAGAGACTGATATTCATATTCTTCCTTAATGGCTATTGTTACTTTAGACTAAAGATTATGTATACGAACATAATTTTCATTCCTTCTAATAATTACTTCATATGTTCCTCACTTGTGTGTCTAATTTTTAATATCACCTGAAAACATGATAATTCAAAACCCATTATAAATTCATATCTATCTTTCTTATAATCATTTTCTAATTTAAGACCATAAAAGCATTATTGTCATGGACTTGTGCACTGTTGACAACAACCATTGTCGTTGAAACTGATGGAGCAGTGTTTCTATGAAACTCCCCATGACTCTGTTCTGGTCAATTGTGGTTTTTGAGAGAACAAAGGTAACCATGATGGGTCCCTCCTCAGTCAAACCCTGATGCTGCATTCCAACATTGAATCTAAACTAAAGTCAGGGGCTATGCACCAAATTCTCAAATAATTAACCTCTCCAAATTGTTGTAACTCGTTTATGAATTTCCTTTTCAAAATTCCATAAACAGTTCTAACATTTTTCATTTGAAAAGAAGAAAAAAAGTGTGTATCATAGATTCATCTGTTTTGGCAAGAGTGAGAAATTTAAACACGACAAAGCACCTGATTCACTCATACTTGGATGTTCTTTAAAAGGTGTTTCAGTTACAATGGGGTTGGAAAACTCATACTTAGAATTTATTTAATTGCACTTTCAAAGGTGGTGGTGTGCACACTTTTTCTATGTATATGGTGGGTCAAGTTTATATATATCTTTTATATTATTTTTTATCATCAAAAGAATGTAAATATTTTTAGGACTAATCTTCTTTAAAAATTTAAGAAACACTGATTAGGTGCACATTTCTTCTCAATTTGAATTTTTTATATTTCTCAATTCAAGTTAAATAATATGAGATCTATCATTATTTAATAAGTAAACTTATCAAATCTCAAAATTCTACTAAAACTTCAATATCTATCATTTAAATATAATTTATTCCGTTTAAGAAGACTCTTAAACTATGAGAGATTCGTGAATGGAAAATAATTTATTATTATTTAAATCATATACTATTTTACATATTAAATATATAAATCATATTAGCAGAAAAATATTAATATTGTTTACAGATTAGTCATCATTTTATTATTAGTTAAAATTTAATAGATAATAAGTTATAAAAAAAAACAAATATGATTTGAAATTTACTGCACATACCCAAAATAACATATTTGTATCATTTCTCCTGTATTAAGATTTTTGTACTAAAATTGTACGAATTTTATCATTTCAATCCTCACACATTCACGTTTTTTTTTTCTAACATATTCCATGCTACAATATAAATATTCTTATCTGTAAGTTTCTTCAAGTATATCGGTATCAATGTATATAATTAAAGTACAAAGATAATAAGGAAAATATCTCAGAAGAAATAATATATATTTAAAGAATAAAAGAATTGGATCATGATGAATATAAAAAAAAGTACAATTCTTAACTAGTAACATTTAAAGTCTCCATTCCATATATTTTATAGAAAGAATATAATACTTTTGAGAAATATATCATACACGTGTACAATTATTTTAGTAATAGCTTAACTACAAGTTGAAGCTTATTTTAATTCAAATAGACATTGATCCATATTTTAATATTTTTTATCAATAAATTTATAGTTATATATTATTGAATTATGAGTTTGTATTATTTTTATGTTTATATATTTTTTTAATTATAAAGATCATATTTTTAGATGAAACAAATTATGCAAGTTACTTTAAGTAGTGTATATTAACTTATGTAAAGAGTATTTTATTTTAAGAAATAAATTATTTGTTTTATAAATTTTGGTTTTAAGGTTGATAGAATAATTGAGTGATAATATGAATGGTTTTTTTTATAAAAATGATTTTTCTTTAAAAAATATTTTTTTTTCTTTGAGATGTAGTTGTGCTTTTATTGTTTTTTTTTTCATCGTTTCACGTGACGAGGTTTGAGCGGAACGAAAATTATAATTATTTGTAAATGTAATAGAATATATCCATTGTGCAAAACTTAGATGATATGAATTAATCATGGTTATGTAAATATTTTATAATATTTATTAGAGATAAAATAGTTAATTTGAAAAAAATTATGTTAACATACCATATTATTATTAATTTAAACGTTTGAATATCTTTACATGCATCTCTTCTTTTATCCCAAAAATTTTTAGATGACAATTATTCTTAATGAACCTGAATGCAATGCAAAAAAGAATTATTGACATTTGCGGAAGTTGAAATTCAAGATTATTCATGAGAGAGAAGGGAAATAGAGAAAGTGAAAGTTTTGATCGATTTCAAAAGATTGTTACTTATTTTTACCCTTACAAAAAAGAAAAAATTATGACCATTGGATAAAACTTTTATTATGACTGTTGGATGAATTTTGTGGGTTACTTTGACAACCCCCCTCAAGCTGGGCGTAAATGTTAAGGAGCCCCAGCTTGGACATGAGATTATTTAGTAAAAATATCAGCTTGTTGACTCTGGGTGCTAACGTGAAGAAGTTTGATTATACCTTGTTTAATATTTTCCCTTATCAAATGACAATTTATTTCTATGTATTTTGTCCTTTCATGGAACACTTGGTTGGAAGCTATTTGTATGGCTGAGAGATTGTCACAGTACAAAACAGAAGGTTGTTGATGATAGATCCTGAAATCTTGCATGAGGTGATGAAGCCACTGAATTTCACAGGTAGTTAAGGCAATGACCCGATACTCTGCTTCAGAAGAGCTTCTGGAAACAGTCTGTTGTTTCTTAGATTTCCAACAAATGGGAGAGTCTCCAATGTAGATGATGTAGCCCATAACAGATCTCCTTGTGGTATGGCATCCAGCCCAATCTGAATCACAAAAAGCCTTGAACTGAAGGTTACTTGTTGAGTAAAAGAAAATTCCTTGTCCAGGATGTTGTTTAAGATAACGGAGAATCCTCATAGATGCTTGATGATGAATACTCGTGGGGGCGGCAATGAACGGACTTAAATGATGTACAACAAATGTGATGTCTGGTCTAGTGTGAGTAAGGTATATGAGACACCTAAGGAGTCTTCTAAAAGGAGTTGGGTCAGAGAGGAGTTCTCCCGTATCCGTCATTTTACGTTTGAAAAAATTCATGGGAGTAGACATGGGAGCAGATCCAAGCATTCCAGCCTCCTTGAGGATGTCAATAGCATATTTACACTGACACAAAGGAATCCCTTTGCTACTCCTTGCAATCTCAAAGCCAAGAAAATATGTCAAGTTGCCTAGATTTTTAATTTTAAAAGTGTAGTTAAGCAAGTTAGTAATATCATTTATTTCATCTATGTCATCTCCAACTAAAATAACATCATCAACATATATGAGCAAGACAGTGATGCGGGAGTCATTAAACTTTAGGTATAAAGATTGATTATATTCATGAGAGCATAAAAACTCTGACAGCTTAGAGTACCACTGTCTACTCGCCTGCTTAAGGTCATACAATGATTTATGGAGATGACAAAAATGATTTTTATCATGATTATTAGTACCAGGAGGCAAATGCATGTAAACTTCCTCATCTAAGTCACCATGCAAAAAGGCATTGTTGACATCTAATTGTTTTAAGTGCCAATTATGAATGGAAGCCAAGGATAAAAGTAACTTGATAGTTGTTATTTTTGCAATGGGTGAAAAGGTGTGTAAGTAATCAAGTCCCTCTTTTTGGGTATATCCCTTTGCTACAAGATGCACCTTATAACGTTCTATGCTCCAATCGGCTCTGTATTTGACTTTATATACCCACTTGCATCCAATTGCATGTTTCCCTTTTGGTAAAGGAGTCACAGTCCAAGTTCTATTTTGCTCTAGAGAAGCCAGCTCTTCAGTCATAGCTTTCTGTCAATGCTCATGTTGAGAAGCAATCTCATAGGAATCAGGCTCCTCATGAGAATCAATGGAACAAACAACCTGTTTAAAAGAAGGAGATAATCTTGCAAGGGAAATATAAGCATTAATGGGGTACTTAGGCCTTTTCTCATATTTAGTTATAAAGGAAGTCTGAAAGTATTTCAAATAAGCAGGAGCAGTTTTGTACCTAGTATATCTTCTAAGAGAAGCATCTTCTGTACCAGAATTAAGGCTTTGTTCAACATTAGAAGTGTTAGACTCACAAAAACTAGTATTGTCTATATTACTTTGATTATCAACAGTGCACTCCGTATTGTAATTATCAT